GGGGCGGGGCGGGGCAGGGCAGTGGCAGGGGGCGGGGCGGGCAGGGGGCGGGGCGGGGCGGGCAGGGGGCGGGGCGGCGCGGCGCGGCGTGGCCGCGGGAAGCCTGGGCTGGTTCCTCCCCACCACAGACACAGAGCCAGGAGCGGCTCGGCTCGAAGGGCGCAGTCCAGGAGCAGAAGCCGCTCAGGGACAGCGCAGGGCCGAGTGCACAGTCCGGGCGGGTGCGTGCGTGAAGCCGCGCCCTCGGACGGGGCGGCCGGGCTGCCCACGGCCGCCGCCCCTTTCGGTTACCTTGCTCGCGTCACACACGTCGGGGCACTGTCTCGTCCCGGGCTTCCGCCCGGGCCCCGCCGGCGCCCGCGGCCGTCCCGCGTCCCGCGTCCCGCGGGCCGGGCTTCCCACCGGGCCGTGCGCCCTCCGCGGCCGGGGGGACGAGCGTCGGGGCCCGCGGACGCCGCTTCCCGCCCCTCCGCACGGGCCGCTCACCGCGGCCCCGTTATTTTTGGGGGGTGGGCAGAGGGGTCCCCGAGACTTTCCAACGGCTCTGCCGCGTTCGAAACAAAACAGCAACCACCACCGCACCACAGAGCACTCGCGGCGAGGAGACCCGACGGCCGCCCCACAGGGCCGCGTCCGGAGGAAGTTCCCGCCGGTGAGCAGCGGGCACGCCCCCCGGACCGCCCACCTGCAGCTCCGATTGGCTGACAGGCGAAGCCCCGCCCCTCTGGGGAGGCCTGAGTGGACGGAGGCGGGGGTGGGAGGTACCTGTCCCGGCCTGGCTGCCTTGGCGGGTGAGCTCGCGGCACCTCCTCCAGGCCTGGCCTCCAGCGGTTTGATGGGCTGTGGTGGGTCTTCTTCCTCAGGCTCAGCTAGGCCAGGCCGGCCTCCGCGGGTCAGGAGGTGGGCCTGCCCCAGGTTGGCACGCTGGGGGCCGCTGGGGAGTATGACCACTCGGCTTCCTGGCGAAGGTTCTCTCTTGGGTTCAGCCAAGGCAATAAAACACACACACATCTAATTAGCAAGTGCTGGGAGCAAGTGCAGGCATGGCGAGAACATTCTAGAGGAATCGAGAGAAAGCAAATGGGCCAGGCACCAAGTAGCTCAGTAATCCTAGCTTCTCCGGAAGCTGGAGACCTGAGGATCTTGGTTCAAAGCCAGCCTATGAAGAAAAGTCCATGAGAGTCTGATCTCCAGATATCCAGCAAAAAGTCAGAAATGGAGATGTGAATCAAGTGGTAGAGCACCCTCCTTGAAAGAGAAAGCTAAGGGGCAGCTCCCAGGCCCCGAGTTCAAGCACCAGCAATGGCATACGACAAAGCTGGACATGGTAACTCAGGAGTCAGGAGACCACGGCAGTAACATCCTAAGGGGTCACTCTGGACTGTTTGATGAGTTCCAGGATCACTCTGTCTCAGAACAATGAGATGGGCTGGGAAGGTGGCTCAGTGGTAGAGTGCTGGCCGAGCAAGCATGAAGTCCTGGGTTTGATCTTTACCTTATGTATGGTACATTCACGTGTGTATATATATCTTCAGAAGGGTGAGGGAGGCACAGAAATTGAGGGGAAAAGGGTGAAAAAGTCCAACAGTGGAGCTCACTGGATCGTGGATGAAAGAGAACTATACAACTCAAGGGTGGAGGGCTGGGAAGGTGGCTCAGTGGTACAGCGCTTGCCTTGCATGCATGAGGCCCTGGGTTCGATTCCTCAGCGCCACATAAGCAAAAAGAAAAAAGCCAGAAGTGGTGCTGTGGATCAAGTGGTAGAGCGCTAGCCTTGAGCTGAAGAGCTGAGGGACAGCGCCCAGGCCCAGAGTTCAGGCCCCACAACTGGACCCAAAAAAACAAAACAAAACAACTCATGGGTGGAAACAGGAGGGAGGGACAGAGAGAACGAGGAACAGAAGACACTGGACGAAAGGAAATGTACTCATTATGACTTGTCATTGTCACCCCTCTGTACATCACCATTAGAATAAATTAAAATTTTGAGTGATGCAGCTATATTTTCTCTCCTTTCAGTCTTGTACTTAAGAATGGATTAGTCGCTGGGTGCCGGTGGCTCACACCTGTAATCCTAGCTACTCAGGAGGCTAAGTTCTGAGGATCACAGTTCAAAGCCAGCCCAGGCAGGAAAGCCCATGAGACTCTGATCTCCAATAAACCACCACAAAACCAGAAGCGGTGCTATGGCTCAAGTGGTAGAACACCAGCCTTGAGCTGAAGAGCTGAGGGACAGCGCCCAAGCCATGAGTTCAAGCTCCATGACCAACAACAAAAAAGAATGGATTACTCTCCTCGGTAGCAGTGTTTTTGATAGGAAAATAAAGTTTGTTGGAACTTTTGTATTCTCAAAGATTATTTGCTAGTTTTATAATCTAAGGTGTATTGTAGTTTTCCTTATCTGATTTACCCAAGAATTTAAGTGCAGATACTTTTGCTCCTTATTCCAAGGTTGGCACTTGGGCTTATCTGTGTTGGTGGGAAACTGGTAAGAACTAGAGCTGGCAGAGGTCTTACATAACTGACTTGCAGCAGGGACTGACCTCAAAGAGGCATTTAGCTGAACTTAGAAAGTATTTCTGCATTTGAGAATTTACTTAGGGGAGACCTTTAAAGTTGCCCAGGTGAGACTGTGGTCTTGGTGAATAAGTTTTACAGAATCATAAATACTAAGATTTATAGCCAGGCGCCAGTGGCTCACCCATCATGCTAGCTATTCAAGAGGCTGAGATCTGTGGATCGAGGTTTGAAGTCAGCCCAGGCAGGAAAGTCCGTGTGACTCTTATCTCCAATTAGTCCTCAGAAAAACAAGTGGGGCTGTGGTTCAAAGTAGTAGAACTCTGGCCTTGAATGATATCGCTCAGAGACAGTGCCCAGGCCAAGTTCAAGCCCCAGGGATGTTCCCCCCTTAAAAAAATGTAGGTTTAAGAGTGAAGAAAGTGTTTAAGAGCACATGAAATGTGGGAAAGGTTAACAAGAGAGTGGGAAAGGTTTATAGGAGAGTGTGGTTTATAAAACCTTACATCATAAATATAACGCTGCTACTGGAAAGAATCCACACTGAAGAGAAGCCCTGTAGGTGTAAGCATTGTGAGAAAGCCTTTCTTAGTTACCTACATGTATATGAAAGAACTCACCATGGGGAGAAACCATTTGCCTGGAAGCAATGTGGGAAAGCCTTTGGTTGTTCCTCTCTGCCTTGAGAGCCTAACAGAATCCACACTGAGCTGGGCACTGGTGGCTCACACCTGTAATCCTACCTGCTCGGGAGGCTGAGATCTGAGATCATGATTCAAAGGCAGCCCACGGCTGGGAAGGTGGCTCAGTGGTAGAGCGCTTGCCTTGCATGCATGAGGCCCTGGGTTCAATTCCTCAGCACCACATAAGCAAAAAGAAAAAAAGCCCGAAGTGGTGCTGTGGCTCAAGTGGTAGAGTGCTAGCCTTGAGCTGAAGAGCTGAGGGAAAGCACAGACCCCCACCCAAAAAAAAACACAAAGGCAGCCCAGACAGGAAAGTCTGTGAGATTATCTCCAACTAACCAGCACAATCACTAAGTGGAAGTGTGGTTCAAAGCAGTAATGTTAGACTTGAGCAGAAGTGTTCAGGGGCAGCGCCTAGGCCCTGAGTTCAAGCCTCACACCTAACAATAACAAAAAAGTAAAATTTCTTACTAGTCCTTTTCACTGTTCACCATTCCATATATTGCTTTATGGCCTGGGATGGGCCAGCTTCAAATTGGGATCCTCAGATGGCAGCGTCCTGAATACCTAGGATTATAGGCATGAGCAAGTGGTCAGGGGTTCTTGTTTTTTTTGAGCTGAGGCCAGAACTTAGGGCCTTGCATTGCAAGTGCTCTTCTACACAGCCCAATCCCCAATAGGTAACGTTAACTTCTGTACCACGGTTGAAAGTGGGTAGCTGACCCATAGAAAGGGAAACTGCAGGCTGGGAATGTGACTTGTGGCAGAGTGCTTGCCTAGCATGCATGAAGCCCTGGGTTCGATCCCACTGCACCACATAAACAGCAAAAGCTGGAAGTGGCACTGTGACTCAAGTGTTAGATGCTAGTCTTGAGCAGAGAAGCTCAGGGACAGTGCCCAGACCCTGAGTTCAAGCTCCAGGACTGGCAAAAACAAACAAACAAACAAACAAAAACCCCACTTAGTTGTACACACAAGATAAATGTCTTCACATCAAAAGCATAAAGTAAACTTGAAAATTTGGTCTAGTTTATGTTTATGGTGGCATAGTGTCTATCTTCTCAGTAAATAAAAACCTATGAGAATTTCCTTTTTTTGTTTCATTGTATCATGTTGGTATAATTTCAAAATAGCTTATTACAAGTGGCGCTGTAGCTCAAGTGGTAGAGCGCTCACCTTGAGTTGAAGAGCTGAGGGACAACGCCCAGGCCCAGAGTTCAAGCCCCACGACCGACCAAAAAAAAAAAAAAATAGCTTATTACATTCATTTCTTTGTAAGACACTTGGCAACCAGAAGATAAAAATCTTTACTAGATTAATTTTGAAAATACTTCCTTCAGATTATATACTCTGGAGAAATTGACACAGGATTATTTGTGTATCTATGATTTCCCTACCCACAGAATATCCACTTTTCTTTTTGGTCCGTATGGGCCTGGGTGCTGTCCCTCGGATCTTCAGCTCAAGGCTAGCGCTCTACCACTTGAGCCACAGCACCACTTTCAGCTTTTTCTGCTTATGTGGTGCTGAGGAATCGAACCCAGGGCCTCATGCATGCAAGGCAAGCGCTCTACCACTGAGCCACCTTCCCTGCTTCCAATTTACATGTGGGCTACCCTATTCTCTCCATTCTGTGTTCTTTCAAATCTGTATACCCAACAAGCCCACCTACCATATGCTCTATTTGTACTAGCTTTCCATCCTCAAGTTGCTAGAATGTTCTCATCCCCCATTGTTTACATACATAGGTTGGTAAGAGTTAAATTCCTCAGTTGCTCTGACAAAATACAAGACACAAACAAATAAAAGGATTTATTCATTTATCATGTCTGACTTTTTTTAGATGAGGCCTCTTATGCACCCCAGAAGGACTCCCAACTAAGATTAGCTCATGCTAATCTTGAAATTCTAAATCCCACCACCTAGCACGAAGGTCCAGATTTCCGCTACAGTCTGGCATTATTGATTGTGGACCCTAAAGGGGCAGAATGTTACGGAGCTGGAGACTGAGGCTGATGCTACAGACTCACAGAGGAAAGGGAGAGAAGAGAGAAGGAGCAGAGGTGAGGCGAGGCAAAACCTTCAACAGTCAATCTGCACCATCCTCACCTAACATAGCAGCACCAGCTGGGGGTGAAGTCAGTGGAAGACGTTTCACACTAAATCAGACCACACAAGGCATTTCTGCCCAGTGGGTTTGTTCATGTCTTAAGTCACTTGAGAAATGAAGACTTTCACATTGCTCACGCTTGTAGGTATTTTCTCCACGATGTATGTCCTCAGGCACTGCTACACTTTGAATACAGTCTCTGCCTACTGTGACTCCCTTTATATATTTTAATACAAGTGGAATAGCTCGTAGCTGTTCTACACTGCTCACGTACAAGAGATTTCTCTACCCTGTGAGTTCATAATGTCTTTGGGCATCACCCAACAAAAAGGCTCTTGATCAACATTGTTTGCAATCATAGTTTCCTTCCAGTGTGCGTCATTTTAAATTTGTGCAAAGAATCAGAATCCTCAAAGGTATTCCCACATTCCTTACATAGAGGCTTTTCTCCACCGAGTTTGCTCAAACTACCTTTCTTATATTGCTTATGGAGAAAGAGGTTCTTTCCAGTGTGTTATTTCATGTGTGTGTAAGGAACTGGAATCACTGAAGGCTTCTCCACATTCAGTACAGAGGAAGGGTTTCTCTTCATTGTGAGTTCGTTCGTGTTTCCGACGACCACTGAGAGTAAAGAAGGCTTTCCCACATTGCTTACACACATAGGGCTTCTCTCCAGTGTGAGTTCTCTCGTGGATGAGACAGTGACTGGATTGCCCGAATGCTTTCCCACACTGATTACAGACGTAAGGCTTCTCCCCAGTGTGAGTCCTCTCGTGTATGGTCATGTAACCGCAGGACCTGAAGGCTTTTCCACACTGTCTACATACATAGGGCTTCTCTTCAGTGTGAGTTATTTTATGTTTGTGCAAGGAACTTGAATCAATGAAAGCTTTCCCGCATTCCTTACACAGAAAGGGTTTCTCGCCACTGTGAGTTCGTTCGTGCTTTCGAACATCACTCAAAGTAAAGAAGGCTTTTCCACACTGCTTACAGACATGGGGCTTCTCTCCAGTGTGAGTCCTTTCGTGTATCTTAACATAACCTGGATAGCTGAACGCCTTCCCACACTGCTGACACACGTAAGGCTTCTCCCCAGTGTGCGTCCTTTCATGGATTTTAATGTAACTGGAAGAACTAAAAGCCTTCCCACATTGCTGACACACATAAGGTTTCTCTCCCGTGTGAGTTCGTCTGTGTATCCTCCGGGAAGTGGGATGACTGAAGACATTCCCACACTGCTTACACTCGTGGGTTCTCACTCCTGTGTTGGTGCTGTCAGCGTTCTGGAAGCACTGGGGGTCGCTGAAGGCTCTCCCACACGCAGTACATTTACACGGCTTCTCTTCAAACTCCCGATACTCATAGAGTTTGGAGTCAGAGTAAGTTCTGAAGGCCATACTCAGGGACGAATGCCTGAGGAAGATGTCAAAGATGCCTGCTTCCACTCCAGCGGGGGTTTTAATGTTCAGAACAGAATCTAGAGTACTGTGGAAGATTTCTCCACTTTGAAGAGCTTCTTTATGTCCACAGAATCTCCATAAATCTTGAACCCTGGAAATAAGTGAGAAGGCATTACTGAGCCATTATTCTGTCATGATTTAGCAGGAGAACTACCGGTTTGATGTCCTGTTAGAATTTTAGAATACAAATGCCCGGATGCTCCGCAGGATGGCAAAAGCAGATACAGTCTTATCACGAGGTATCTTCATATGCTTCCCGGGAGAGTATTTTGTAAACATGAGCACAGTATTTCACTTTTAAATAGTTAGCTGAGTATTTCCCTTATGAACAGTTGGGGTTCAAAGCATTTGAATTTTGAAATATTTGCATATATATGAGATATTTTGAAGAGAGCTAGAAATCTCTATTTTACATATACACCTTATATACAAAGCCTGAACGTCACTTTTTCTTACCTTAAAGCATCAGAAATCGTTGTTTGTGGCAAGAAACTGGAGGCCCAGATGTTTCCAATGTTAAAACATTTTGGATTTTTGATGTGTTGATTATGGTTGTTCAACCTAAATGTATTTTGGAGGAAATATTGAAAGGAAATCAGTGTTTACCAGCAGTTTTCTGTATTAGAAATTTCTTCTCATGGTTTGATTTGTAAAGAAACATTCCATTCTCTTGCAAGTATAAATTACCTTAGATATCTCTTGGGACTTTTACACACCTCTTCAACAGTCTGGTCTTCCCGTTCTTTTTCTAAAATATAGATCCAGAACATCATTACAAACGATGACGACTTTACACAGTAATCACGAGATTCCAGTTACATTCATGGTGTGACACATGACACGAGCATGTCTGGCAGGTTTACCCAAATGTTCTCATCCCACATTCCACATGACTGAGCAGCACGGGAGAACAGTGCCTCGCTCCCTGAGTGAGCAGGTCAGGGAAGGAAGTGGTCCTTACGTATGGAGGCCAGGTTCCGGAAGGTCTCCACCATCACGTCTCTGTACAGCTGCTGCTGGGCTGCATCCAGCAGAGCCCACTCCTCCAGGGTGAAGTTGACAAACACGTCATCGAAGGTCACAGCCTCCTGAAACGTCACAAGGGCATACCAGGGAGGGAGGGTGAGACTCATGTAATAGAGATCTACACGTTTTCATAAAAGGTTTGACATGACGCTATGCCTTCACAATGTTCCCGCCATGTTTGCTCACGTCGAGGCTTCTCTTCCATACTCACATCCTCACACGCCGGGTCTGGAAATGTCTGCACACAAGATCAGGAGAGGAGACTGACCGTGCTCTGAAGTCACCCCGTGTTCTAACTTTGCACTGGGTCCAGTTCCTCTCACTACCCACGTGCTGCACGGAGCCTCAGCCGCTCTCGTAGTGAGACTGCACATTGCTAGAAAGGCTTTGGCACAAAGTACCCCCTCTCCAGACATTCTGAAAAGGCCCCAGTTTTCTCACACACCTTATGTCAACAATATGCTATCTATCTCTTCAGTCTGTCCCTGGGAACACTTGAAATAGTCGGATATAACCATCGGAGGGCGCATAGCAATTCATCTGCAACGAGCTGGTCCAACAGATCCAATTTCAAAGAGTCTAGTGCATCCTCTCTGACTACACTAAGATAGGGCAGGTGGAAGCTTGTACCTACTTTTTTTTAACAGATCAAATTTTTTTTTTTTTTTTTGCCAGTCATGGGGCCAGAACTCTGGGCCTGGGCGCTGTCCCTCAGCTCTTCAGCTCAAGGCTAGCGCTCTACCACTTGAGCCACAGCGCCACTTCTGGTTTTTTCTGCTTATGTGGTGCTGAGGAATCGAACCCAGGGCCTCATGCATGCAAGCAAGCACTCTACCACTGAGCCACCTTCCCAGCCCCAACAGATCAAATTTTTAAGTAGCATAAAGGATCCAAGAAGGATAATACAGCTGGCACTGGTGGGTCACACCTTAAGGCCAAGGTTCAAGGCCCACCCTGGCAGGACAAAGTCCACCACACCATTATCTCCAATTAACCACAAAAAACCAAGTGGAGCTGTGGATCAACTGGTCCAATGTCAGCCTTGAGTGAATAAGCTAGGGGCAGCATCCAGGCCCCAAGTTAAAGCCCTACTACGAGCTCCCTGAAAAATAAGTAAAATGAAAACGTCAAAAAGAATGATATTGAGAAAGTACAAATAAAACTTTCTTGACAGTTTACATGATTATCTTTATAGAAGTCCAAAGAACACCTCTCATTAGTAACAAAGATATAATCAAAGACTATAGCAAGTAAGTACAATAGGTCAATCTAATGTCCGATATTTTGCTATATCTCATCAAAGAACTACTAAATTTGAAATTTAGCCAGCAAAGGCTGGCTATGTTGGCAGTTGCGAATATTCCCACCTTCTTGGGAAGCTGAGATCCATTTGAGACCAGCTTGAGCACCATAGACCCTGTCTTAAAAATAAATACAAGCCTGGTGCTGTGGCTCATGCCTGTTACAAGAGGCTAAGATCTGAGGTCTCGGTTCAAAGGCTGCCTAGACCAGCAAAGTATGAGACTCTCATCTCCAATTAACCACATTTTTCAGAAAAAAAGGCTAGAAATGGAGATGTGACTCAAATGGTAGAGTGCTAGCCTTGAGCACCAAGGCTCAGGCACAGCACAAAGTCCATGAGTTCAAGCCCCAGAACCAACAGAAAATAAGCAAATAAATAAATCCAAGTCCAAGCCAGGCCCAGTGCCCCATGCATGTAATCCTAGCTACTCAGGAGGCTGAGATCTGAGGACTGCAGTTCAAAGCCAGCTGGGGCAGGAAAGTCCTGGAGACTCATCTCTAATGAACCACCAGAAAACTGGGAGTGGTGCTATGGCTCAAGTGGTAGAGCACTCGCCTTGAGCGGAAGAGCTCAGGGACAGCTCCCAGGCCCAGAGTTCAAGCTCCATGTCCAGAAAAAAAAATAAATAATAAGTTGCCAAGGCAGGAAGAACAAGTCCTAGTCTCACTGGTTTATTCTGCCAAATACTCAATGAATAATATGATCTCTCAAGAAAAATTAGTTAGGCTAATTCTAGGTAGGAGGTCTACCCTGCCATGATGCCAAAACCAGAGAAGACAATATAGAAAAACACAAACTACAGATATCTTCTACAGATAAAAAAATAACCCAGCAAGCTCCAGGCTGGGTTGTTTGTCACGCAACACCATCACCCACACAGACCCTCACAAAGGACAAACAAAAATTCTAGGATTGTAGTTCTAAGCCAGCGTGGGGAAAGAAGGTCTGTGAGACTCTTATCCCCAATTAACCACAAAAAAGCTGGGAAGGGCTGGGAAGGTGGCTCAGTGGTAGAATGCTTGCCTAGCATGCATGAAGCCCTGGGTTCGAGTCCTCAGCACCACATAAGCAGAAAAAGTGGGAACTGGTGCTGTGGCTCAAGTGGTAGAGCACTAGCCTTTAGTTGAAGAGCTGGGGGACAACACTCAGGCCCGGAGCTCAGGTCCCATTACCATCAAAAAATGAATTAATTAATTAATTTTAAGAAAGAAAAAGAAAAAAAAGAAACTGAGACCCAAGGACAAAGGCTAGAAGCCAGCCTGAGCAAGAAATCTGAGATTCCTTTTTTTTTTTTTTTCTTTTGGTTCCAGTCGTGGAGCCTGAACTCTGGGCCTGGGCGCTGTCCCTCAGCTCTTCAGTTCAAGGCTAGCGCTCTACCACTTGAGCCACAGCGCCACTTCCGGCTTTTTTCTTTTTGCTTATGTGGTGCTGAGGAATCGAACCCAGGACCTCATGCATGCAAGGCAAACGCTCTACCACTGAGCCACCTTCCCAGCCCCATTCTTTTGGTTTTTTTTTGTTTTTTTGTTTTTTTTGGGTCCAGTCGTGGGGCCTGAACTCTGGGCCTGGGCACTGTTCCTCAGCTCTTCAGCTCAAGGCTAGCGCTCTACCACTTGAGCCACAGCGCCACTTCCGGCTTTTTTTTTTTTTTTTTTTTGCTAATGTGGTGCTGAGGAATCAAACCCAGGGCCTCATGCATGCAAGGCAATAGCTCTACCACTGAGCCACCTTCCCAGCCCCTCTTTTGTGTTTTTTTAAAAAATTTAATAAGGTTTTGTGTGTGTGTGTGAAAATACCATATAGATGGGTTACAATTACATGAGCAAGGTAATGAGTACATTTCTTTTTGTTTGGGTTTTTTTTAACTGTATTTTTTTTGTCTTTTCTTTTTTGGTACTGGGGATCGAACCCAGTACATTGCACTTGCTAGGCAAGTGCTTTGCCACTGAGCTACATCCCAGCCTATGAGTACATTTCTTATCAAGCACTGTGGCCTCCTCCTTATTTTTTTCCCCTTACCATCCCTGACCTCCCAGCTCCAACCCCCTCCCACCAAAGTTGCAAAGTTCGTTTTTCGACATAAGGTCTTGTACATCTACATCTCATTGTTGCAATGGGTCCACCTATATCCTTATTTAAGCAATTTGTTTTTTTCCCTTCCCCTCCCCAAATTATACCAACATCTAATACAGTGAAAACAGGGGTTATACCGTAGGGGAGGGACATACAAAGCAACAACAACAAAATCATCTTATCAATATGTTAGAAACAATAGCAAGAAAGAAAAACCATTTGAGGCTGGGCGCCGGTGGCTCCCGCCTGTCATCCTAGCATCTCAGGAGGCTGAGATCTGAGGATTAGGGTTCAAAGCCAGCCCGGGCAGGAACATCTGTGAGACTCTTAACTCCAATAAACCACTAGAAAACCAGAACTGGTGCTGTGGCTCAAGTGGTAGAGCGCTTGCCTTGAGCTGAAGAGCGCAGGGACAGCGCCCAGGCCCAGAGTTCAATCCCCACGACCAACAAAAAAACAACAACCAAAAAAAACACCATTTGAGTCCTTATCTTGGGATTCATTTTGTCTAACATCAACTTATCTGACCATTTCTGCTTGTCTCAGACATATACTAGTTACTGCAAATAAGGGAAACCATAGGACCTATGTTTCTTTAGGCCTGCCTTACTTCACTTAATATAATTTTTTTCCAAGTCTTTCCATTTCCTAACAAATGGGGGGCAATGTCATTCTTTCTGATGGAGGCATAGAATTCCCATGTCTATGTCTATATATACCACATTTTCTTGATCCATTCATCTACTGAGGGGCATCTGGGTTGGTTCCATATCTTAGCTATGATAAATGCTGCTGCAATAGGGGCTGGGAAGGTGGCTCAGTGGTAGAGCGCTTGCCTAGCATGCATGAAGTCCTAGGTTCCATTCCTCAGCACCACATACACAGAAAAAGCCAGAAGTGGCGCTGTGGTGCTAGCCTTGAGAAGAGAAAAGCTCAAGAACAACTCCCAGGCCCTGAGTTCAATCTTCAAATCTGCACACAAAAAAGAGCAACAAACCAGTACTTTAAAAAACATACACACAAGCCGAGGACAGCCCAGTGCCGGTGGCTCACGCCTGTCATCCTAGCTACTCAGGAGGCTGAGATATGAGGATTGCAGTTCAAAGCCAGCCCCAGCAGGAAAGTCCATGAAACTCTTAACGTCGATAAACCACCAGAAAACTGGAAGTGGCGTTGTAGCTCAAATGGTAGAGCTTCAGCCTTGAGCTAATAGAGCAGAGGGACAGCACCCAGGCCCAGAGTTCAAGCCCCACGACTGACAAAAAAAAAAAGCTGGGCACCGGTGGCTCATACCTGTAATCCTAGCTATTCAGGAGGCTGAGATCTGAGGATCATGGTTCAAAGTCAGACCGGGCAGGAAAGCCTTGTGAGACTCTTATCTCCAATAAACCACTAGAAAACCGGAAGTGGCGTTAGTGGCATTGTAGCTCAAGTGGTAGAGCGTTTGCCTTGAGTTGAAGAGCTGAGGGACAGCGCCCAAGCCCAGAGTTCAAGCCCCCATGACTGACAAAAAAAAAAAAAAAAAAAAAAAAACTGGACACAGGCCTGGGGCCGGTGGCTCACGCCTGTAATCCCAGCTACTCAGGAGGCTGAGATCTGAGGATCATGGTTCAAAGCCAGCCCAGACAGGAAAGGGCATGAGACTCTTATCTCCAATAAACCACCAGAAAACCAGAAGTGGCGCTGTGGCTCAAGCAGTACAGCGCTCTCCTTGAGCTGAAGAGCTGAGGGATAGTGCCAAGCCCAGAGTTCAAGCCCCATGACTGACCGAAAAAAAACGCTACATAGGCTGGGAATGTGTCTTAGTGGTACAGTGCATGCACAAAGCCCTGGGTTCTGATTCCTCAGTACCACAGACACAGAAAAAGCCTGAAGTGGCACTGTAGTTCAAGTGGTAGAGGGCTAGCCTTGAGCAAAAGAAGCTCAGGGACATTGTCCTGGCCCTGAGTTCAAGCCCCAGGACTGGCAAAAACAAAACAAAACAAACCTACACACATGGCTGGTGAGGTGGCTTAGTTGCAGATTGCTTGCCTAGCATGCATGAAGCCCTGGGTTCGATTCCTTAGTACCACATAAACAGAAATGCTGTGGCTCAAACGGCAGTGCTAGCCTTGAGCAAAAGAAGCTCAGGGACAGTGCCCAGGGCCTGAGTTGAGAACCCAGGAGTGAGCCGGGCGCTGGTGGCTCACGCCTGTAATCCTAGCTACTCAGGAGGCTGAGATCTGAGGATCGCGGTTCAAAGCCAGCCCGGGCAGGAGAGACCGTGAGGCTCCTATCTCCAATAAACCACCAGAAAACCGGAAGTGGCGCTGTAGCTCAAGTGGTAGAGCGCTCGCCTTGAGCTGAAGAGCTGAGGGACAGCGCCCAGGCCCTGAGTTCAAGCCCCACGACGGACAAAAAAAAAAAAAGAAAACCCAGGCGTGTCAAAAGATAAAACAGCACAAGAAATATTAACTCTCATTTTCACCAGCAGGTGGAAGTAAAGGTGTGTTTCAGTCTGTCCTGTAGCAGACTTTCTCCCTTGGAGCGACTTAAATATCCTATTCAAAGGTGGAAGATGAGAATTCTGCAGAAGTCAAATTTTAACCCAAGTGATGCCCTTCCCCCCAGGGTGAAACCACACCAGGGCCTCAAAAATGCAACCTGTGAGCCACAACCTCAGTCCGATGGGGATGCCAGGCCACCAGCCCCTCACCTGCCTCTTCCAGGTCCGGGGGAACTGCCCAGAGCAAGAACCACCAGCCCACTCTTTACCAGAAGTAGCCTCCCCTCCTTCCGCTTTTAAAACCGAGACAGAGAATATCAACCGGGCAGCCCCAACTCGCTACACTGTAACCACCGCTACTCCGCAGGCTGGATCCGAGGATCAAGGTTCCGAGCCAGCCTGGACAGACAGACCTGGGAGACTCCCATCCCCCAGTAACTAGCCAAGGGCCCGAGGGATGGCTCACGCGGCAGAGCGCGGCCTGCCCGGTTCCTACCTGGAGGTAGGGCTGGAACTCGGGGACTTACGCCTCACTTCCCAGCACCAGCCTTGGTGGAAAAAGCCAAGCTTAAGGAGCCACGGCCCCGAAATCAATCCTAAATACGGCCCAAAAGGAAGGACGCTGTGACCCAGGCCTGGCGACCGCGCGCACCGGCCAGGCCCCCCCCCGAGTGCCTCACGAACCCCCCTGATCTCGCTTGCTGCAGGTCTGTGACCCCTGACCTCCCTCGGGACGGGGCGACCCCCAGCTCGGGGGCCTGAGGCGCCCCCGCCCCCCCCACCCCCTCCCCGCCCCCACCCCCCTCCCCGCCCGCCCCCCCACCCTCCTCCCCGTCCCCCCCGCCCCCCTCGCCCCCTCCTCGACCCCCCGCCCCCCTCCCCGCCCCCCCCGCCCCCCTCCCCTCCGACCCCGAGGTCGGGCTCCCGTCTACAAAGACCAGCTCTTCCGCCTCCCCCCGCGCCGGCCGCCTGTCAGCGGGACGGCCCCGCCGCCGCCGCCCTCCACGCCGTCCCGAGCCCGCGGCGCCGACGTCGGGAGCCCCGGACGCGCGCGCGGACCCCGTTTCCGGGCAGCGGGGCCGCGCGGGAAGGAAGGCGCCCACCGCAGCCCAGGGCTCGGGCGCGGGGCTCACACGCCGCCCTCGCGCGTCACCGGTTCGGGGACCGCCCCGCCACGGGCACGCCCGGGGGCCCGGGCCCCACCCCGCCGCCGCCGCGCGCGCCGACCCCGCGTCCCCGCGTCCCCGCGTCCCCGCGGGGCGGGCGCCGGGCCGGAAGTCGCCCCTGACGGACAGGACGCGGCTCCGCCGGCCACGCGGGCCCACCCGCGGCCCCCGACAGCCCCCGCGGCCCCCGCGCGGCCTCGCGGCGCCGGCGGTCCCGCGCGGCAGCTGACGCGCGAGGCCCGGGCCGCCTCCGCCGGTTCCCGCCGGGCGCCAGCGCCCTCCGCACGCGCCTCCCGGCCAGGCCCGCGCTCACCATGGCCGCCCCCGGCTCCGCGGCGTCCTCCCGACGCCGCGAGGTCAGCGAAGGTCACCCGGCAGCCGAGGCCGAGCCGCCGGGACCCCCGGAGCAGCCCCGAGCGCCGCGAGCGTGACGGGGCGGGACAGGAAGCTCGGCCGGCGCCTCCCCCGCCGCGCGCCGCGGCGGCCCGCCACGCCCCCCGGCCCTGATTGGCTAACGGGAGCAGGGCCCGCCTCCGAGCCCTGAGTGACCGCAGAGCCGGCCTGTGCGGTGCTTGGTGGAATGGCCAGGAGCTGTTCCAGCCACAGGCATTCCTGAGCCCCGCGTCCTCGGGGCGGGGCGGGGCGGGGTCCCAGCCTGGCAGGTGTCAGCGTGCAGGCAGAACTTGTTTCTGGCGTCTCAACTTTTAAAGTTGATCTCATACAAGATGGGAGAAGAGTTACGGTTACTAGGGCCGGGGAGAAGGAGGGAAGGAGATTGTGGGAACGTTGTCGGTGAGGACTACGTTATAATTAGAAGTGATAATTCTGGTGTTCTCTTACTCAACAGCATGGATAAAGATCATGACGATATAATGTGTGTGTGTTTTTAATCTAGAAGAAAGGGTTTTTAATGGCCTCACAAAACAAATATATATTTATGAAAATAGCTGTCTTACCTTAATTTCAATATCGCCAAGAATTCACACACACCAAAGCATCACATTGTAACCCACAAACAGAGATAATTATGATCTATCAGTAAAATAAAGAATAGAAGTTGGGACCCTATCTCAACTGGCTGAGTAATTGCAAGGCCTGGAGACCAGTCCCAGTTCAACAAAAACAGAAAACTAAAACCCAGTTGGTCTTTTATTAAAAGGGTTTCCATGGAAACACCTATTTTCTGACTTAGGCTCCATCGCTCTTTTAAAGCTGTGTCATGGACTTCGGAGGGGAATGTACTGAACTTGCTTTCACTGACCCAGAAGGAAACAGGCTCTGTGTGTGGACCCACTTCAACATGGAGTGTACTCACAAAATAAAAGACACCTTTCATTCAGAAACTCTCCCCAACTAAGACTGGCCCTTTGCCAGGGCTTCTAAACCAAATTGCAAGTGCACACATTAAGCTGGATGGTGGTGGCGGCTGGTGCTTGAAATGCTAGATACTTTTTAAGAAGGTGAACTCTGAGTATTGAGGTTACAATCCATCCTATGTAGGTAATTCCAAGAGACTCATCTTAAATTAACTACCAGAAAACTGGAAGTGGAACTGTGGCTCAAAGAATTGAGTGCTAGCCTGTGTATAAGAACTCATGGGAAAACTTCCAGGCCCAAGTTCAGCCTGATGGGGGTGGGAGGGGGCTGAAAATGGAGCTGTGGCTCCACAAGCTGTGAGTGAAACAGCTCAGGGACAATGCCCAGGGCCCAAGGGCAAGCCCCAGTACTGGCACACATCCAAGATGCATACTCATCCAGATTTTCAACTGCCACTGACCTACTGTGTAGGATCAGAAAGTTACTCCAACAGAAAATCAGTATCCAAGGCTGGAGATGAACTGTGGGAGAAGTCTTACTAGTGGATAATCTAAGAGACAAAGATTAGATTACTGGTGTGTTCAACAAAGAACTGAATGATAGCCAGGCGTGGATGAATCACGCCTATAATCCTAGCTACTCAGAGGCTGAAATCTGAGGATAGCAGTTCAAAGCCAGCCCAAGCAAGAACGTCCGTGAGACTCTTATCTTCAATGAACCACCAGAAAACATGTGGTGATGTGGCTCAAGAAGTAGAGCACTAGCTTTGAGCTGAAGAGCTGAGGGACATAACTGAATGAGTGCACACAATAGTAAAATGGTAAAGGGAGGAGTTTAATTGAGAAAGTCCAATGTCAAGAAAAATATGCGTGAACGAGGTAGCTCAAGGATGCCACAGGGCTGGGAAGGTGGCTTACTGGTAGAGTGCTTGCCTAGCATGCATGAAACCTTGAGTTCACTTCCTTGGTACCACATACACAGAAAAAGCCAGAAGTGGCACTATAGCTCACGTAATAAAGTGCTAGCCTTAAGCACAGAGAGGCTCAGGGACAGTCCCAGGCCCTGAGTTCTAGCCCCAGAACTGGCCAAAAAAAAAAAAAAAAAAAAAAAAAATTCAGCTTCCTAAAATTTGGTAAGTGCAAGGGGGAATTTCTGGTGGCAATTTGGGCTGATCTTGGACAGGAAAGAGAGCAAGACTTATCACAGACAGAAGTTGAGCTGTGGTTCAAGTGGTAGAAGACAACAAGTCTGAGTGAAAAAGCGCCCAAGCCCTGAGTTCATGCCCCAGAATTAAGAAATAAATAATAAACTTTTAAATTTATAAGGCTGTAGTTATTGAAAAGCTTCAGCTGCTAACTCAGAACCAACCAGCGCCACTGCCAAGAGAAAACAATATTGAAAAGGAATGCCAATGGTGGGAATTATTGTGGGGAGAGGGGTTGGTATCAACCCAGAATGCTGTCACTATTCAACCTGGTGACTGCAATCATTTTCTGTCCAGTTATTCCCCATTATATGGGTAAATCTTGGTTGTGATGTTGACTGGATTAAAAGACACTTTGAAAAAAAAATAAAAGACACCTTGAAAATTAGCAAACTATCCTTCCAGAAATTATTGTATCAGAGCATGCTCAGAAGAATACAGAGGGGACCACTGAAATAACTCGAGAAAAATCTGCCCTGGATGGGAGGAAGCCTGAGCTGGAAATAGTGTTGCTGGATTTTTTTTCCCCCGGTTTTGGGCTTGAATTCAGGGCCTGGGCACTGTCCCCGAGCTTCTACTACTCGAGCCACAGCCCCACTTCCGGATTTTGTGGTAGTTAATTGGCGATAAGAAGCTCAGGGACTTTCCTGTTTGGGCTGGCTTCGAACTGCCAACCTCACATCTGCGTCTCTAGTGTCGTTAGGGTAACAGGCCAGAGCCTGCCTGGCGGGAGGTCTTTGTCCCGCCCCGCCCCGCCCTTCATCGTTATCCAATCAGGGCCTCTGAGGGATCTGTCCAATAAGGAGCCGCGATGGGGGGGCGGAGTCCTCCGACGGTTCCGGTTCCGGTATAAGAGGCGGGGGAAAGCGCTTCGCCGCGTGCGCTGGCAGAGGTGGCAGATGGGAGCGCCAAGTCCGGTCCGGCGCGGGGATGGTGAGTGCGGGGCGTCCCGGAGCGGCGGGGAGAGGCCGGGGCCGGACGCGGCCTGGGCGCGGTGGGCGCCGCTCGACCCTCGCGGCACGCGGGCTACGGAGGGGCCCGGGCGATGGCGGGCCCGGGGACCGGCCCGGCGCGTCCGCCCGCGGCCTCCCCGCGCAGCCGCGCGCCGCCCGCGGCCTCCCCGCGCAGCCGCGCGCCGCCCGCGGCCTCCCCGCGCCGCCCGCGCCGCCCGCCGCCCGCGGCCTCCCCGCGCAGCCGCGCGCCGCCCGCGGCCTCCCCGCGCAGCCGCCCGCCGCCCGCGGCCTCCCCGCGCCGCCCGCGCCGCCCGCCGCCCGCGGCCTCCCCGCGCAGCCGCGCGCCGCCCGCGGCCTCCCCGCGCAGCCGCGCGCCGCCCGCGGCCTCCCCGCGCCGCCCGCGCCGCCCGCGGCCTCCCCGCGCAGCCGCGCGCCGCCCGCGGCCTCCCCGCGCCGCCCGCGCCGCCCGCGGCCTCCCCGCGCCGCCCGCGCCGCCCGCCGCCCGCGGCCTCCCTGCGCAGCCGCGCGCCGCCCGGCGGGGGGGGGGGGGGCGCCGAGGCGCCTCGGCGCGGCCCGGGGTTGCGGGGGCACGTCCGGGGCCCCGTCCACGGCCTGGCCCCTCCCGCCGGGCCGGGGTTGCGGGGGCACGTCCGGGGCCCCGTCCACGGCCTGGCCCCTCCCGCCGGGCCGCTCCGTGCAGCCGCCGGGGAACCCCGAGGCCGCACTCACTGGGGACGGGGCGCCGCCGTGGTGGACACGGTTGGTGTTTGGGGGACGGGGCCTGTGGTCCCCTCGGACACAGGTGGTGGTGTTCTAAGACGCTTCTAGAAATGGCGTTCGTGTGTCCGTAGCTAGCACGCGCCGCTTCCAGAATTTGATTTTTTAGAGATTTGTTGTTGTGGTGGTCGGTCGTGGGGCCTGAACTCTGGGCCTGGGCGCTGTCCCTCAGCTCAAGGCGAGCGCTCTACCACTTGAGCCACAGCGCCACTTCCTGGCGTGCATTTTTTTTTTTTATTAGCATACACCTTGACTTGGTTTTAATGGCATACTGCAACCTGGGGAAAGGCCTGCTGCAGGTTTTATAGGCACCTAATGTTTAGAAAGAATAGGGCTGGCCGGGCGCTGGTGGCTCACGCCTGTAATCCTAGCTACTCAGGAGGCTGAGATATGAGGATCGCGGTTCAAAGCCAGCCCGGGCAGGAAAGACCGTGAGACTCCTATCTCCAATAAACCACCAGAAAACCGGAAGTGGCACTGTAGCTCAAGTGGTAGAGCGCTCGCCTTGAGCTGAAGGGCTGAGGGACAGCGCCCAGGCCCAGAGTTCAAGCCCCACGACGACAAAAAGAAAAAAGGATAGGGCTGTGGGGCTGGAAATGTGGTAGAGTGCTTCCCTAGCATACATGAAGCCCTGGGTTTGATTCCTCAGTACCACATACACAGAAGGGGTGCTCTGGCTCAATGGATAGAGTGCTGGCCTTGAGCAAAAGCAGTTCAGGGGGGGCTGGGAAGGTGGCTCAGTGGTAGAGTGCTTACCTTGCATGCCTGAGGCCCTGGGTTCGATTCCTCAGCACCACATAAGCAAAGAGAAAAAAGCCGGAAGTGGTGCTGTGGCTCAAGTGGTAGAATGCTGGCCTTGAGCTGAAGAGCTGAGGGACAGCGCCCAGGCCCAGAGTTCAGGCCCCACAGCCCCCCACCCCCACCCCCCCCAAAAAAAAGCTCAGGGACAGTGCCCACGCCCTGAGTTCAAGCCCCTGGACTAGGAAAAGAAAAAAAAAAGGGTTTTGAACTCAGAAAACAGCAGACAAATTGGAGGAGGAGCAGGAGGTTGTGGAGGTGGCAAGATCAGGGTCCATTCCAAAGAAAGTCATCCCATGCAGCCATTTTGTGAAAGCAGCAGGAGACTTTGTTTGCTAGTTCTGGGTGCGGTGTGTGTTTGGGCTGGGCAGTCCAGTCTCTTCCTCCCTCCTTACCACCAAGTCTTGTGCTCTTAATCAGCTTTCTCACATATGGACTACCAGTTGAACCACACCCCCAGTCTAGCATTGTTTTTGTCTTAAGTGAGTCCTTTGAGCTTTCCTTGTTGCAGGCTGCCTTGAACCTTCATCCTTAGATCAGCCTCCTCAGTTACTAGGAATAAGAACACTCACCACTGTGTGCACACACACTTTGGTCTCAGAGCCTCCAGTTTCTTGCCTTAGCCTGGCTCTCTCACCACATGAGCCAGCTCTCCAGCTCTCAGCTAATCATTTTTGAGGCCAAAATTGAGCATTTGGAAAATGTGTGAGGTCATGGCAGTGGTTAAAGTGGGGGATGGAGGAAACCTGTAATTCAACTGTGTAGAAATGCTCTTGTTCCTTTCCTCCTGGGAGGTCAGGAGTCTTTGATCCCAGGTATTTACTCAGATCGAAGCAACTGGACAAAACATTTCATCTGTTTTTTGTTGTTGTTGTTTTTGGTTGGTTGCGGGGCTTGAACTCAGGGCCTGGGTGCTGTTCCTGAGCTGCTTTTTTTTTTTTTTTTTTTGTCGGTCGTGGGGCTTGAACTCTGGGCCTGGGCGCTGTCCCTCAGCCCTTCAGCTCAAGGCGAATGCTCTACCACTTGAGCTACAGCGCCACTTCCAGTTTTCTGGTGGTTTATTGGAGATAGGAGTCTCACGGTCTCTCCTGCCCTGGCTGGTTTTGAACCGCCTTCCTCAGATCTCAGCCTCCTGAGTAGATAGGATTACAGGCGTGAGCCACCAGCGCCCGGCTCTGAGCTTCTTTTTGCTCAAGGCTAGCACTCTACCACTTGAGCCATGGCACCACTTCTGGTTTTTGAGTGGTTCATTGGAGTTAATCTCATGGGGACTTTTCTGCTCTGGTTGGCTTTGAATCGTGATCCTCAGATCTCAGCTTCTTTAGTAGCTAGGATTATAGGCGTGAGCCACCAGTGCCATAAAGTTGAGGCAGTCTGACAAAAAGACACTTCGATTCTGCTTTCTGGACTCAAGGTTTTGTGTATTTGAGAACTGACAAGGGGAGTACAGCATAATTTTTTGATTTTTTTTTTTTTTTTGGGTTGGTCTTGGGGCTTGAACTCTGGGCCTGGGTGCTGTTCCTCAGCTCTACAGCTCAAGGCTAGTGCTCTACCACTTGAGCCACAGCACCACTTCCATTTTTTTTTTGGTGGTTAACTGGAGATAAGAGTCTCTAGGATGGGGGCTGGGAAGGTGGCTCAGTGGTAGAGTGCTTGCCTTGCATGCATGAAGCCCTGGGTTCGATTCCTAAGCACCACGTAAGTGAAAAGAAAAAAGCTGGAAGTGGCGCTGTGGCTCAAGTGGTAGAGCGCTAGCCTTGAGCTGAAGAGCTGAGGGACAGCACCCAGGCCCAGAGTTCAGGCCCCACAACTGGACCCAAAAGAAAAAAAAAAGAATCTCTAGGACTTTCCTGTCCAGGCTGGCTCTGAACTATGACCTGATCCTCAGATCTCAGCCTCCAGAGTAGCTAGGATTACAGGCTTGAGCCACCGGCACCCAGCGTAGTCTAATTTTTACATTTGGTGTTTGTGTCTCTTTGTGACATCAGGATGGTCGAGTGTCTTTGTTTTTGCATAAACACCATTCAGGCACTGTGTAAATTCAAGTTAATAAGGTGATTCAGGGCAGCACCCCACTATCACTTTGGGAAAGCAAACACATATTTTGGACTGGCATGTGCAGTGGTGGCACTGATGCTGAAGCCGTGGGTCTCTGCACGGTATAGTGGTGTCAGAATAATTCGTAGAATACCCCTTGAACATTTTGGTGGTCAGCACAATCCCCTACTTCGTGTCAGACATATTGGGAGGCAGGCTTCTTTGATGTGACATCATAGTTTCCAGGTCTGCCCCATTTACCGTTGGCAGTAGAAGTTCATTTTTTTTTTTTTGTCGGTTGTGGGTCTTGAACTCTGGGCCTGGGCGCTGTCCCTCAGCTCTTCAGCTCAAGGCCAGTGCTCTACCACTTGAGCTACAGCGCCACTTCCGGTTTTCCGGTGGTTTATTGGAGATAGGAGTCTCACGGTCTCTCCTGCCCGGGCTGGCTTTGAACCGTGATCCTCAGGTCTCAGCCTCTGAGTAGCTAGGATTACAGGCGTGAGCCACCAGCGCCCGGCATTAGAAGTTCATTCTTATGGCTGGGTAAAATTCTTTTTTTGGGGGGGGGGGAAGGTCCGGTCATGGGCCTGAATTCTGGGCCTGGGCGCTGTCCCTCAGCTCTTCAGCTCAAGGCTAGCGCTCTACCACTTGAGCCACAGTGCCACTTCCAGCTTTTTTTTTCTGCTTATGTGGTGCTGAGGAATCAAACCCAGGGCCTCATGCATGCAAGGCAAGCGCTCTACCACTGAGCCTCCTTCCCAGCCCTGACTGGATAAAATTCGATTATATATGCCACATTTTCTTTATTCATCTGATTTCACCCATTCATTTAGCCTAATTCCATAGTTTATTGTCAATAATGATGCCACGTGGTAGGTCAACCCCGCAGTCTTAGATGCTACTTGGGAGGTAGAGATTGGGGGACTGCCATTTGAGGCCCACCTGGGCATAACAGTTCTTGAGATTCCCTCTCAATAACTGGCTGGGTGTGATGGCGCCTATCTGACCTAGCCTCAAGGGAAACACAAATAGGGTCACAATCCAGGTGGCCCTGGGAATACAGTGATCCAAGAGACATTCCATAGAATGGGAAAAGAAACCTACCCAGCCATCCAACAGATAAAAGATTATTTCCAGTTACAAAATCCCAAAATGGAGTTCTGGTTCAAATGGTAGAGCGTTTGAGTGAAAAAACAAAAACAGTCACAGATTTTCCTGCCTGGGCTGGAAAAGACTCTCACAGGGACTTTTCTCCCCCGGCTGGCTTTGAACCCCAGTCCTCAGATCTCAGCCTCTTGAGTATCTAGGATTACAGGCGTGAGCCACTAGCACCCGACTCACAGAAAATCTTTAGAATAAGAAAATGATAGTTAAATATGAAGGAAACGCCATCAAGATTTTGAGTTCAAGGCAGAATGAGCTACATAGTAAAAACCTGTCTCAAACCTTTGTTGTCACCCTTCTGATAATTTTGTCTCAAAATAGCTGCTTTTGCTCTCACAAGAACTAAAGTAGGAATTCCTTGGGCAGTGCTACAGTCTCAGTGTCCCAATTGTAATTGTTGGGACTGCTTACAAAACAGGTGCCCATGTTCTGCTGTTAATTACCAAATGGCTCCCAGCTCCTGTCAGAATTGCTACATGAGAGTGTGTGTGAGTGCGTGTGATAAGAGTCGTGGGGGGAGGGGCGGCATCATCATGTGAAATTCTTGGGAGTCTTTATTTACAGTGCTGTGGCTTTCATTATTCCTTATGGGTATGCGTGTGGGCTATTGTAGGATCCAGTGACCTTTGTGGATGTTGTTGTGACCTTCACACTGGAAGAATGGGCTTTGTTGGATTCTCCCCAAAAGAAGCTCCACAGACATGTGATGTGGGAAACACTCAGGAACCTGGCTGCTATAGGTAAGCACAGCATCCCTCCTCTAATCCATGAATGACTGTGATACTCTTCAGTGCTGTTGTACCATTTGGAATATGGGAATGGAATACTGGGGTGAATAGGCCATGAATGATCATAAACTATAATAAAAAACATCTGCAATGGATGATTCTTTTTATAACGTTGAATAAGTCACAGTGATTTTTTGTGATTAAATTTTAGGGACAAAACAGAATGAAGAAAGTATTGAACATGGCTGCAAAACTCTCGGCAGAAATCTAAGGTAATTTTCCCTAACAAGAAAAAGCTGTGGGGGCTGGGAAGGTGGCTCAGTGGTAGAGCGCTTGCCTTGCTTGCCTGAGGCCCTGGGTTCGATTCCTCAGCACCACATAAGCAAAAAGAAAAAAAGCCGGAAGTGGCACTGTGGCTCAATTGGTAGAGCGCTAGCCTTGAGCTGAAGAGCTGAGGGACAGCGCCCAGGCCCAGAGTTCAGGCCCCACGACCGGACCAAAAAAAGAAAAAGAAAAAGCTGTGTACCTCAAATGTGGAGTATAGGAACCTTCAAAACTTAAGTACATGCTGGGCCACTGGGGGGCTGCTCACGCCTGTCATCCTAGCTACTCAGGAGGCTGAGATCTGAGGATCGCGGTTCAAAGCCAGCCCTGCCAGGCAGGAAAGTCTGTGAGACTCTGATCTCCAATAAACCACCAGAAAATGGGAAGTGGCACTGTAGCTCAAGTGGTAGAGCGCTAGCCTTGAGCTGAAGAGCTGAGGGACAGCACCCAGGCCCAGATTTCAAGCCCCTGACTGATTAAAAAAAAAACAAACGTATTGCGCTCTCTCTCTCTCTCTCTCTCTCTCTCTCTCTCTATATATATATATATATATATAAAATTCCTTTTAAATTCAGGCTTTGTGTATCTGTATGAAATGGAAATGAGTTTTAGGTTTAGATGACCCTTACCTCCAGCATACTAGAAGAATTTCAAACATTAACATGCAGTGGGTGTGGGTGTGGTGAGAGAGAGCGTGTGAGTGAGAGCTGGTCTTGGATCTTGAACTCAGGTTCTGGCACTGCCCCTTAGCTTTTTGGCTCAAGGCTAGGACTGCCTCTTGAGCCACGGGCCTTCCAACTTTTTGCTGGTTATTTGGAGATAAGAGCTTCAGAGACATGCCTGCTTGGGCCGGCTTTGAACCCTGATCCTCAGATCTCAACTTCCAACCCTGATGCCTGGCATGCTAAAATAAGGAATACCTTTTCACTTAATACTTAATTATAACTTATCTGTAAAAACACACTCAACAGAGAGTGTTCACCTGGTCTGTGAAGGTGGTGTTACACATCCATATATGAATTCCTTACTTTGGGGGTTGCTTACCTCAGCCTTACTGCAGTCATTCAGCTCACTCTTTTTCATAAATCATTTTAGAAGTCAGAGATCCAACCCTGGTTTGGGGAAAACGACTGATGTTTAAAAAACTATTGTAAGCTGTGTGCCAGTGGCTCACTCCTAAAAGCCTACCTACTCAGGAGGCTGAGATCTGAGGATTCAGCCCAGGCAAGAAAGTCCACGAGACTCTTCAGTAAACTACTCAGTAAAAGGCAGAAGTGGCGCTGTAGCTCAAGTGGTAGAGCGCTAGTCTTGAACACAAAGAGGCTCAGGGACAGTGCCCAGGTTCTGAGTTCAAGTCAGAAAAAAAACTCCAAAACTTATCATTCTCTTTTCATGTTTACCAGCGGTAGTGTGGTAGAGAGGCTCTGTGAATATGAAGGAGGCAATCAGTGTGTAAAGTTCTGCCAGCGGATTCTGGAGCATCCTGTTGGTCTTCCTTCTGGGGTACTACCGTGTGAAGAGTACCGGTGTGAGGACCTTGTCACTTACTTGTTTCCGCGTGGGCCCCTCAGCGCTCACACCACACACAGACCCTGTGTGAATCTGAAGGCTGATACCCAGGAGGCATGCAGGAAAAGCTGCTCTTCCTCCCTGGACTTGGAGAGCCGTGAAAGCTCTCACTCGAGAGAGAAGCCCAGTGGAAATAAATCGTCTGACAAGGCCCATCAGAGTCTCTCTTCTATCCCACACCATGAGAGCACTGTCAAAGGAAGCAGCCCTCAGCGTAAGCAGCATGGAAAAGCCTTCACAAGAACAAGCACTCACACGGAAGAGACGCCATCTGTGTCTGAAGAACGTGGGGAAGCCTTCGGGCTTGCCAAGTGTTTTCACAGACGCGGAGGAAATCCCGGCGATGGGCCTGCTCACAACGGGAAGCCGGGCAGAGAAAGTCAGGCTCAGACTCACACAAGAGCTCAGAGTGGAGAGAAACGCTACGGATGTCAGCAGTGTGGAAAATCCTTCAGTTACCGTTTTTACGTGAAAATCCATGAGAGAATTCACTCTGGAGAGAAACCCTATGGCTGCCAGCAGTGTGAGAAAGCCTTCACTAGTTCCAGTCATCTCCACAGACATGTGAGAACTCACACGGGAGAGAAGCCTTACAAGTGCAAGCAGTGTGGAAAAGTCTTCAGTCGCATCTCTTACCTTAAACTACATGAAAGAGCCCACTCCGGGGAGGAGCTTTGTGCATGTGAGCAGTGCGGAAAATCCTTTGCTTTCTCCAGCAACCTTCAGAGACACCAGAGAACTCACTCTTGGGAGAAGCCCTACGTGTGTAAGCACTGTGGGAAAGCCTTCCGTTGTGGTTCTTACGTTAAAATCCACGAGAGGACCCACTTCCACGAGAAGCCTTATTTCTGCAAGCAATGTGGGAAGGCCTTCAAGTGTCCCAGTCATCTGCAGAGGCATAGACAGACGCACTTCAGAGAGAAAGCTTTTGTATGTAGGCAGTGTGGGATGGCTTTTAGTCAAGTTTTTCGCATGAAAATCCATGAAAGAATTCATTCTAGAGAGACTCAGTATGTATGTAAGCAATGTGGAAAAACCTTCCTTTCTTCCTATGCCCTTAGGAGACATGAAAAGACTCACACCAACGAGAAGCCCTATCAGTGTGCACAGTGCGGGAAAGCCTTTACTTTTAGTTCTTATATCAAAGTACACGAACGAACTCACTCCCAGGAAAGACCTTACTTATGTCATCAGTGTGGGAAAGCCTTCCTGAGGTCTACTCACCTCCAGAGACATGAACTGACCCACAGTACCGTCAAGCCATTCATATGTAAGCAGTGTGGGAAAGGCTTTTGCGAGCGCTTTTTCATGAAAGCCCATGAAAGAATTCATGGTGGGGAGAAGCTGGGATGTCAGCAGTGTGGAAAAGCTTTCCCTTTTGCAAGTGCTCTTGAGAGGCACGAAAGGACTCACACTGGAGAGAAGCCCTACGGGTGTGCGCAGTGCGGAAAAGCCTTCTCTCGACCCTACCTCCTCAAAGCACACGAAAGAACCCACACCGGGGACAAACCCTACGGTTGTGGGAAGTGTGGGAAAGCCTTTGTTCATTCTTCTCTCCTTAGAAGACATGAAAAGACTCACGCCTGAGGAAGAAAACCCTGCATGTCTAACCCTTGTGTGAAAGCCTTCATTCTCTCTGGTTGCCGCCAACCACAGGAAAGAACTTCTGCTGCCCACGTGAGCCATGGTGATGTCATCACTCAGCCAGAGCCACCTGGAAACGTCAGAGAACACTGGACGGACACAGCGTAGGCAACCCTGTGCCAGTCGGTGTTCAGAGAACACACCAGGAAATCACATCTTGGTTATCTGCTTTCATTTTACTAAGACAAAAGGACTCAAGCTGGAATGAACACACAATGTGTGAACTTGGTGGGTGCCAGTGGCTGAGATCTTTCTCAGTCGCTTTAAATTTCCACTCACACTCTTCAAAGCTGATAATCGGCATGTACTCAGCATAGTACATTTTGTTGTTGTTGGTGGTCATGGGACTTGAACTCTGGGCCTGGGCACTATCTCTGAGGTCTTCTGCTCAAAGCAGACGCTCTACCATGTGAGCCACAGCGCCACTTCCAGTTTTCTAGTGGTTAGAGGTAAGAGTCTCCCCGACTATCCTGCCCGGGCTGGCTTTGAACCACAATCCTCAGTTCTCAGCCTCATGAGTAGCTAGGATTACAGGCATGAGCCACCAGCACCTGGCCATAATACATTCTTGTGTCATGTCCAGCTCCTTTTTCTGGGCCTTGATTTCTACATGCAGTGTCGGACTCTCCTCTTGGCCTTGCTTTAGGGAGCAAGGACGGCAGTGGTGTTGTCCGTGAGCCGCCTCCAGCCTCTGGCCCCTGGCCCCAGCCTTGCCTGGTGTTTACCCAGGCTGATACGCTTGCCTTTCATTTGATTCTGAGTCTTTTCCAGGTTCATTTTGAGGATTTCGTTTTCATCTTTGACTTTTACAAGTTCCTGATTTATGTCTTCAAAAAAAATTTTTTTTTTTTTGGGTCCGGTCGCGGGGTCTGAACTCTGGGCCTGGGCGCTGTCCCTCAGCTCTTCAGCTCAAGGCGAGCGCTCTACCACTTGAGCCACAGCGCCACTTCCGGCTTTTTTTTTTCCTTTTTGTTTATGTGGTGCTGAGGAATCGAACCCAGGGCCTCAGGATTGCAAAGCAAGCACTCTACCACTGAGCCACCTTCCAGCCCCTTTGAGCCTCTCTCTCTGCTCAAGGCTGGCTCACAGGCTTTCCTGCTGCTCGGGCTGGCTTTGAATCTCGATCCTCAGATCTCAGCCCCGAGTAGGTAGGATTACAGGCGTGAGCCACCGGCGCCCAGCTCAGAGAGCTGAATTTTAATTCAACAAGGCTGGATTTCAGAGTCCTGAGCTCCCTCCCATATTTCTCAGGAGATAACCCAGTTTCCAGGCAGCTAACGTGCTTGTCATTTTCCGTCTTTCTCTCCCTTGGACATTCCTTTTTCCAATGTCCATTTTGCTAGCAATGAGGTTCTCTACTGCCGTTTGCAAATGGATAACGCTTTTCCCTCAACACCTAACCTTTGAACCTTTCTTCTAATATCTGGGGCTGGCTGGTTCTCTGAGGCCTCAGAATCTATAGGCGTATACATAGGTCCTGTTGGCCTCCAGAGCCCTTCCAGAAAAGCAGCAGGGGACTCACTGGGGAGCTGCACACTCTCACCTTAGGTAAATGAATTGGCTTCCTAGCCGCCACCCAGATCCCACTAACAGTCTGGAGATAACTGGTAAGCACTCCTTATCTTGATCGCTGCTATAGTCCCAGCTTGGTGAGTCAGAGGAAAGACTTGCTCCAAACGGACAGGGTCATCAATGGAAGACCCCTCTGGTCCCAGGACCGCCTTTGCAGCACGGTTCCCTGTTCTCTGGGGCTTAAAGCCCTATACAAGTTGAGTCACCCTAGGTGGGCTAGTGTGCAAAAAATACTATTTCCAATAATGAGTTGAATCCCTGGGGTTTTCCAGTAAAGGATGGATTTTGCTGTTTCCAGCTGTACAAGTCCCTAGTTGTAAAGGGAACATGCATTAGAAAGGGGGCTTGCCTAGTCTCCCCCAGGCGCCTGTCTAAAGGGTAGGAAAGGGACTATGCCACCTTGTTCCCACCTCAGGAACTACTTCTGGTGTGGGGAGGACTTAACATTGGAGGTGCTAATGGCACCGCCACCCTGCTCCTCAGAGAATGGTACCCATGTCACGGGAGGTATGGGCCACCCTGCCCAGTCCCAGCTCAAGAAGGACCTCCCCTCTAACTGTGATCCTCCTGTTGTCTCCCAAGTAGACAGCAGCACAGCCCTGCAGCCGGGCGCCTGCGTGTGTGTTTGCTATAAACAAGATTTGTTGAACACATTTTTTGACTCTTAACTGTATTCCTACAATCTGCAGACACAAATGTTAACTTATTTGTTTACTGAGAAGTTGTCTTCAGCTATCTTGTAATCCGTGCTATCTTGTAATCGGGGCTCTAATTCATGTTTGTTGCGTTTTTCTATTCCATGATTGAGAATTCTCATGCCCCATCCAATTAAAGAGTTTCTCAGGTGAATTTTACTTCTCTCGCCTATATTGTTGTTTCTTTTTATTATAATAGTCTGATACTAATCATGCCAGAAGAAACACTGTGCTGCTGTGACTCTTAGCAGAGTCCAGGAAGACCTAGTTTTTGTCAAATAGGACACAGGGATTCCATAAACTCTCTAAATGAGGGGCTGGGAAGGTGGCTCAGTGGTAGAGTGCTTGCCTTGCACGCATGAGGCCCTGGGTTCAATTCCTCAGCACCACATAAGCAAAAAGAAAAAAAGCCTGAAGTGGCGCTGTGGCTCAGGTGATAGAGCCTTGAGCTGAAGATCTGAGGGACAGCGCCCAGGCCCAGAGTTAAGCCACACGACTGAACCCCCCCCCCCCCAAAAAAAAAAATCTAAATGACAAGATAGTTTAACAGCAAGAACATGCTGTATAGAATTTGACAGGACTGGTGTGTGTTGTATGGGGAGTGGTTGGGATTTAATGTCAGGATGACCCATCCCAACACTTAGATGTGCTTAAGTAGGTGAATAAAATGCTAACTCTGCTCTCATGATGGTTCTTAGCTAGAGGTGGTAGAGGCTAGGGTGAGGTAGTCCTGAGAATGGCTGTCCTGTGATTCTACGTGAAAATTGTGTTCTATTAATCTGAGAGACATGGGTCTTGCTCTGACCTAGCCACTGAACATTGCAGTTTGGGCTACGTGGCGTGTCTCTTCAGGTAACATGGCCTTGCTGTCAGTGTAGCCTGATTCCAGTCTTAATGTTTTTGTCCTTGGGCTTAAACTCAGGGCCTGAATGCTCTCCCTGAGCTTGCTTTGCTCAAGGCTAGTGCTCCAACATTTCAGCCACAGCTCTACTTTGAGCTTTTTTGTGTAGTTAACTAGAGCTGAGGCTCACCAACTTTCTTGCCTGGGCTGGCTTCAAACTGCAATCCTCAGATCTTACCCTCCTGAGTAGCTAGAAAGACAGGCGTTGAGCTACCAGTGCTGGCTACAGCTCAAGTAGTCTGAACCTTTTACTTTTTTTGGGGGGGGGGTGTCAGCTGTGGGGCCTGAACTCTGGGCCTGGGCGCAGTCCCTCAGCTCTTCAGCTCAAGGCGAGCACTCTACCACTTGAGCCACAGCACCACTTCTGGTGTTTTCTGCTTATGTGGTGCTGAGGAATTGAAGCCAGGGCCTCATGCATGCAAGGCAAGCGCTCTACCACTGAGCCACCTTCCCAGCCCCTGCTTTTACCTTTCATGCAAACACTCAAGGATTTTCAGCAGTGTACGGACACAGGCCTGACCTTCTATTGGGTAATGATCTAATAAGCACCTGGCAAGGTAAAAATGTAGGTGAAATATGTATTTTTACATGTAATCTAGCGAACATTTTTTTATTTTTTGGTCCAGTCATGGGGCCTGAACTTTAGGCCTGGGTGTTGTCCCTCAGCTCTTCAGCTCAAGGTTAGCGCTCTACCACTTGAGCCACAGTGCCACTTCCGGCTTCCTTCTTTTTGCTTATGGGATGCTGAGGAATCAAACCCAGGGCCTCAGGCAGGCAAGACAAGCGCTCTACCACTGGGCCACCCTCCTGGCCCCTAGCGAACATTCTTGAGCCAGGCTGCCCTCAATGTAACACACTTAAGAAGCTGGAGATGAGCAGCTGTGGTAAAAGCTTTCCCCCAACTTTTCTCAGTTTATTGATTTTCAAACTAAAAATTAAAAACAAGCCAGATGACAGTGACTCACGCCTGTCATCCCTGCTACTCAGGAGGCTGATATGGGAGGATCCCAGTTGGAATCCAGCCCAGGCAGGAAAGACCTTGACACTCTTATTTCCAATAAACCACCAGAAAATCGGGAAGTGGCGCTGTGGCTCAAGTAGTTGAGCACTAGCCTTGAACAAAAGAGCTCAGAGACAGGGCCCAGGCCCAGAGTTCAAGCCCCATGACAAAAAAAAAGGGGGGGGGGGCAGAGGACATACTAGCAAGGGACTTCAGTTTACTCAATGAATGGAGAAATAGGAGCTATATGCCAGGCATGCTCTACAGAGGAATCATGAAGAAAAGTAAGTTTATTTGAGCTAGCTCATAGAAGCAGCTGACTACAGCCAAGGTCACAAAGGCAAACTCCTATTCTGATGACAAAACCATGGCCAACTCCCAAGCCAGGCTAAGTGCAAGAATGACAGGGTCAGCCCCTGGGCTGAGGCAGGGAGCTCCCATGGGAGCTCACTCTGCCCCGCGGTCCCCTTCTCCCAGTGCTGATGACACTCCATATTGCCCAGAGTAAACTCACACTGGGAGCCATTTTATACTGTAGACCAAAGTAAACTGTCAAACTCAAACCTTTGCTGCGGAACAGCATTATGAGTCTAAGCCTGGCCTCTACCGATTTTGGGGTGCATATATGCATTTGTACACCAGTGTTAGGGCGTGAACTCAAGGCCTAGCTATTGTCTCCTTACCTTTGTTATTCAGGTGTTCTACCACATTAGCCATGGCTCTACTGGCTTTTTGGTGGTTTACTGGAGATAATAGGCTCAGGGGGGCTGGGAAGGTGGCTCAGTGGTAGAGCGCTTGCCTTGCATGCCTGAGGCCCTGCATGCCTGAGGCCCTGGGTTCGATTCCTCAGCACCACATAAGCAAAAAGAAAAAAGCTGGAAGTGGCGCTGTGGCTCAAGTGGCAGAGCGCTAACCTAGAGCTGAGGGACAGCGCCCAGGCCCAGAGTTCAGGCCCCAGGACCAGACCCAAAAAAAAAAAGTCTCAGGGATTTTCCTGCTGGGCTGGCTAAGGAATCAAACCCTGGGCTTCAAGCAGGGTAAATAAGCTCTCTACCAATAAGCCACAATCCCAGTCCAAATTCATGTTTTATTTGCCAGTCCTGGGGCTTGAACTCAGGGCTTGGGGACTGTCCCTGAGCTTCTTTTAATCAAAGCTAGCGCTCTCCCACTTGAGCCATTTCCGGCCTTTTCTGTGTATGGGGCACTGAGGAATTGAACCCAGGGCTTCATGCATGCTAGGCAAGCACTCAGTCACATTCTCAGCTCCCAAATTCAAGATTTCGAACATCAAAGTAGTCTTTCCTACATTGTTTACATACATAAAGCTTCTCCCCAGTGTTTTATTTTGTGTGTGTGTAAGGAACTGGAATCACTGAAGGCTTCTCCACATTCAGTACAGAGGAAGGGTTTCTCTTCATTGTGAGTGCGTTCGTGTTTCCGACGACCACTGAGAGTAAAGAAGGCTTTCCCACATTGCTTACACACATAGGGCTTCTCTCCAGTGTGAGTTCTCTCGTGGATGAGACAGTGACTGGATTGCCCGAATGCTTTCCCACACTGATTACAGACGTAAGGCTTCTCTCCAGTGTGAGTCCTTTCGTGTATGGTCAGGTAGCCGCAGGACCTGAAGGCTTTTCCACACTGTCTACACACATAGGGCTTCTCTTCAGTGTGAGTTATTTTATGTTTGTGCAAGGAACTTGAGTCACTGAAGGCTTTCCCGCACTCTTTACACAGAAAAGGTTTCTCACCACTGTGAATTCGTTCATGCTTTCGAACATCACTCAAAGAATAGAAGGTTTTCCCACACTGCTCGCACACACACGGCTTCTCTCCGGTGTGAGTTCTTTCATGTCGGATGCGGTGACTTGACTGCCGGAAGGCCTTCCCGCAGTAGCTGCACACGTAAGGCTTCTCCCCACTGTGCGTCCTTTCGTGAATTTTAATGTAACTGGAAGAACGAAACGCTTTCCCACACTGCTGACACACAAACAGTTTCTGTTCGGTGCTCTCAAACATTTCAGGGGAAGTGGGATGACTGAAGACATTCCCACACTGCTTACACTCGTGGGTTCTCACTCCTGTGTTGGTGCTGTCAGCGTTCTGGAAGCACTGGGGGTCGCTGAAGGCTCTCCCACACGCAGTACATTTACACGGCTTCTCTTCAAACTCCCGATACTCATAGAGTTTGGAGTCAGAGTAAGTTCTGAGGGCCATACTCAGGGACGAATGCCTGAGGAAGATGTCAAAGACGCCTGCTTCCACTCCAGCGGGGGTTTTAATGTTCAGAACAGAATCTAGAGGACTGTGGAAGATTTCTCCACCTTGAATAGCTTCTTTATGTCCAGAGTCTCCATCTTTTCGTCTTGTCGGTTGTGGGGCTTGAACTCTGGGCCTGGGCGCTGTCCCTCAGCTCCTCAGCTCAAGGTGAGCATCATACCACTTGAGTCACAGCACCACTTCCGGTTTTCTGGTGGTTCATTGGAGGTAAGAGTCTCTCACATACTTTCCTACCTGGGCTGACTTTGAACTGCAATCATTAAGTCTCAGCCTCCTGACTAGCTAGGATTACAGGTGTGACCACTGGTGCCCAGCAAGTCTTCATAAATCTTAAACCCTGGAAATAAGTGAGAGGGCATGACTGAGTCATTACTTTGTCATGACTTAGCAGAAGAGCTATCAGTTTGATGTTCTGTTAGAATTTTATTTATTTATTTTTTGGGTCTGGTCATGGGCCTGAACTCTGGGCCTGGGCGCTGTCGCTCAGCTCTTCAGCTCAAGGCTAGTGCTCTACCAATTGAGCCACAGCGCCACTTTTGGCTTTTTTTTTTTTTGCTTATGTGGTGCTGAGGAATCGAACCCAGGGCCTCAGGCATGCAAGGCAAGCACTCTACCAGTCTACCTTCCCAGACCATGCTCTTTTTTTTTTTTTTTGGTCAGTTGTGGGGCTTGAACTCTGGGCTTGGGCACTATCCCTGCGCTCTTCAGCTCAAGGTGAGCGCTCTACTGCTTAAGTCATAGTGCCACTTCCTATTTCAGCTTTAAATAAAGTTAGCTGAGTATTTCTTTTGTGAACAGTTGAGATTCAAATTGGCATTTGAATTTACAACTATTTGCATATGTAAAATGAGATGCTTCGAACAGAGCTCAAAATCTAAACACAAAATCTCTATCTTTCACATATACCATATATACAAACTCTGAACATAATTTCAGACATGTTAATTTTGTGCATGGGAGAAAGTTTCCTTACCTTAAAGCATCAGAAATCGTTGTTTTTGGCAAAAGACTGGAGGTCCAGAGGCTTCCAATGTTAAAACATTTTGGATTTGCAGATTATGGTGGTTCTACCTAAATCCATTTTTGGAGAACATTTCCTGAGATCAAATCAATATGAACTTGAGCTTAATTGTATGGTTTCTTTGGTTGAAAATTCTTTTCTAACTTTTTTTTGGGGGGGGGGGGGGTCTGTTGTGGGGCTTGAACTCTGGGGCTTAGGAGCCGTCCCTGAGCTCTTCAGCTCAAGGCGAGTGCTCTACAGCCACAGCACCACTCCCAGTTTTCTAGTGGTTAATTGGAGATAAGAGTCTCATGTGGACTTTCCTGCCTGGGCTGGCTTTGAACCGAGATCCTCAGATCTCAACCTCCTGAGTAGCTAGGATTATAGGCAAGTGCTACCAGTGCCCGGCCTTTTCTAACTTTTTAAGTATAAATTACCTTAGTTATCTCCTGGGACTTTAGCATACCTCTTCAATGGTCTGGTCTTCCCTTTCTTGTTCTACAATGTAGATCTAGAACATCATTACAAATGATGATGTCTTTACAGAGTAATCACGAGATTCCAGTTACATTCATGGTGTGACACGAGCATGTCTGGCAGGTTTACCCAAATGTTCTCATCCCACATTCCACATGACTGAGCAGCACGGGAGAACAGTGCCTCGCTCCCTGAGTGAGCAGGTCAGGGAAGGAAGTGGTCCTTACGTATGGAGGCCAGGTTCCGGAAGGTCTCCACCATCATGTCTCTGTACAGCTGCTGCTGGGCTGCATCCAGCAGAGCCCACTCCTCCAGGGTGAAGTTGACAAACACATCATCGAAGGTCACAGCCTCCTGAAACGTCACAAGGGCATACCAGGAGGGAGCGTGAGACTCATGTAATAGAGATCTACACGTTTTCATAAAAGGTTTGACACATACACACAAATCTATAATACATGCAATATAAACAGACCCATCTATAATATAAAGATGAGCCAAATCTAACTGAATAAAAGTGGCCAACATATATTTTACGCAAATATATTATACATGAAAACCAAAATCCAACTGGGCACACATGTAATCTTAGCTACTCAGGAGGCTGAGATCTGAGGATCATGGTTCAAATCCAGCCTGAGCTGAAAAGTCCCCATGAGATGCTTTAATTATCCACCAGAAAACCAGAAGTGAACCTGTGGCTCAAAGTGGTAGAGCCACTTTGATCTCTTAAACAATTGTTTCCTTAAAACAATTTAAAGAAAAATGATACTCAGTACTAATGGAACAGAGAAACAGTCAAAAAAAATAACCAGTAAGCAGGGTACCAGTGGCTACAATCCTGAGGACTGAGGTTTAAAAGCCCAGGCAGATAAGAGACTTCTATTTCCAAATAATCAGCAAGAAGCCGGAAGTGGAGTGGCTCAAGTGGTAGAGTGCCAGCCTGAGCCAAACCAGTTCAAGCCCTAGCACTGCAGACACATCACACAGCAACACAGCTGATGGGGTCTGCCATGGGACACACCTTTATTTTAGACTGAGGAATGAGAATTACAAATTCCAGGCCAACCTGGGTTAATTACAAAGTAAGAGACTTGTCTGGGCTACATAATGAAAAGCAGCCTCACCAAAAAAAGGCCAGCTTAAAAATAAAAAACATAAGACTACTCAGAGGGGCTGGGAATGTGGCTTAGTGGTAGAGTGCTTGCAGCTTAGTGGTAGAGTGCTTGCCTAGCATGCATGAAGCCCTGGGTCCCATTCTTCAGTACACCATACACAGACAGAGCCAAAAGTGGCGCTGTGGCTAAAGTGATAGAGTGCAGGCCTTGACCACAGAGAGGCTCAGGGACAGAGCCCAGGCTTTGAGATGAAGCCCAGGACAAGAAAGAAAGAAAGAAAGAAAGAAAGAAAGAAAGAAAGAAAGAAAGAAAGAAAGAAAGAAAGAAAGAAAGAAAGAAAGAAAGAAAGAAAGAAAGAAAGAAAGAAAGAAAGAAAGAAAGAAAGAAAGAAAGAAAGAAAGAAAGAAAGAAAGAAAGAAAGAAAGAAAGAAAGAAAGAAAGAAAGAAAGAAAGAAAGAAAGAAAGAAAGAAAGAAAGAAAGAAAGAAAGAAAGAAAGAAAGAAAGAAAGAAAGAAAGAAAGAAAGAAAGAAAGAAAGAAAGAAAGAAAGAAAGAAAGAAAGAAAGAAAGAAAGAAAGAAAGAAAGAAAGAAAGAAAGAAAGAAAGAAAGAAAGAAAGAAAGAAAGAAAGAAAGAAAGAAAGAAAGAAAGAAAGAAAGAAGGAAAGAAAGACAGAAAGAAAGAAAGAAAGAGAGAGAAAGAGAGAAAGAAAGAGAGAAAGAGAGAGAGAAAGAGAGAGAGAAAGAGAAAGAAAGAAGGAAAGAAAGAAGGAAAGAAAGGAAGGAAGGAAGGAAAGAAAGGAAGGAAACTACCCAGAAATCCAAGTGCTAGTGGCTCACACCTGCAATCCTAGATACTGAGATCTGAGGATGGCAATTCAAAACCAGCCTACATAGGAAAGTCCACGAGACTCTTATCTCCAATGAACCACCAAAAACCTAGAATACACCTGTGGCTCAAGTGGTAGAATGCCAGCATGGAGCAACAAAAGCTCTCTAATACACAAAGCTTTTACAGGCTAATCGCAAAATAAAGCAACAGTATAGGAGTGGAATCTCTTCCTGAAGACAGGCTCAATTCTGATCATTAACCAAACAGATGAAGAATCAGCTGAAGATTCCAACTAGGCCATATCTTTGTCTCATTTTGATACCAAATGCTTTGTGTTTGCAAAACTAAACGATTCTCCCAACTGGCTGTGCGATTACTCAACTGTGTCACCACCTAGAGAGAACAGTCAACCCCCAATTCCCCACCAAGTCTCACCACCTGGCGCCTGCACTGCAGATGCCAGTCCCAAGAATTTCTGTCTGGTTACCATTCTCATCCTGAGAGATTTCGCTTCATGAGTTATCTCATTTGCATAAACTTCTAGATAAAAGATGTTCAAAAACTACTTTTGCTGACCCTGAAAATTAACTAACCACAAGAGAAAAGTTTGACATCTTGGTTTGCATTTTGCATATGGACTTGCTACTCCAAGCCATGTTCCTCACCTAGCAAAAATAGATGACATTATTATAAGGGACCAAAATGACTCCTAACTAACAGAAAAGGTTCCTCAGGACATACCAGGTCTGGATTACCCTGAGCTGTGGTAACAGAGGTAAAAATATAGCTAAACCTCCTCCCCCACAAAATGGATAATAAATAATGATCAACCAGGTCACAATATGCCGAGGACTGTATGTATATCCTAAGTCCCCCGTCCAGTGCTATGTCTATAAAACCTGAAGTCTGCACCCACAGAAGATGCCTCTAGAAGGTTCGAAGTGCTGTCTTCCCAAGGCATGCCTGTGCCATGTAATACACCATCTTTCCCTGCCCTTCACGAGAAGCAGCTGGCCAGATCTGATGAAATGTGAAACTCCTGGGGTTTGGGCCTAGCGCCTAAAACACTCTATCATTTCACTGTTTTTCACGAAATTGGTCTTTAATTCCTCTATCCAGAATGTGGGACAAAAACAATCCCACTACACACTAAAATAAACTCTCAATTACACAACTAATTTTTTCCCCAGCAGGCAGAGCACAACAAAGCTTTTCACTTTATCATTTGGCATAAATTAAAGGAGGATGAAAAAAATACTGCAGATGTTAAATTTTACCCAAGTGATGTTTCATGGTTTGTGTGTGTGTGTGTACACACATGCGTGTGCCAGTACTGTAGCTTGAACTCAGGGCTTTACACATCTGGCTTGGCATTTTCACTTAGAGCTGGGATTCTACCACTTGAGCCATTTGCTGGTTAATTAGCAATTGAAACAGAATCTTTAGCCTGGGGCTGATGGCTCACAACTGTAACGCTAGCTGCTCAGGAGGCTGAGATCTGAGGACTCTGGGGTTCAAAGCCAGACAGGGAAGGAAAGTCCACGAGACTCTTATCTCCAATTAACCATCAGGAAACCAGAAGTGGTGCTGTGGCTCAAGTGAAGAGCTGAGGGACAGCACTAAGGCCCAGCGTTCAAGACCCACGACCGACAAAACAAAAAACAAAACGAAAAAAACCACTCACACAAACAGAATCTTCAGAGCTTACTCTCCTGAGCAACTAGGATTATAGGCATGAACTCTGGGCTCCACATGAAATTTTCTCCCTTCCCACAGAATAGTACCAGGGTCAAAAAATGCTACTCAAGCCACAGCTCAGTCCAACAGTCCTGGACAAACTACAACACTCTTCGTTTCAGTTCTGGAGACATTGTAAGGAAAAGAAACACAAGCTTTTTTTTTGGGGGGGGGTCCGGTCGTGGGGCCTGAACTCTGGGCCTGGATGCTGTCCCTCAGATCTTCAGCTCAAGGCTAGCACTCGGGCTGGGAAGGTGGCTCAGTGGTAGAGCGCTTTCCTTGCATGCCTGAGGCCCTAGGTTCGATTCCTCAGCACCACATAAACAAAAAGAAAAAAGCCAGAAGTGGCACTGTGGCTCAAGTGGTAGAGCACTAGCCTTGAACTGAAGAGCTGAGGGACAGTGCCCAGGCCCAGAGTTCAGGCCCCACGACCAGACCCAAAAACAAAAAAAAAAAAACCAAAACACCTGTAACAAGGCCAGCCACTTCAAGTCATCAAATCCTCAAGTTCTGTCTCAAAAATGATTTGTTCTAGCCAGGTGCCAGTGTGGTCTGCCAGTCATCCTAGCTACTGAGGAGGCTGAGATCTGAGGATCGGGGATCAAAGCCAGCCCAGGCAGGAAAGACTGAGACTTCCAGAAATCCAGAAGTGGTGCTATGGCTCAAGTGGTAGAGCGCTAGCCTTGAGCTGAAAAGCTGAGGGACAGCGCCTAGGCCCAGAGTTCAAGCCCCACAACTGGCCAACAACAACAAAAAATTTGCTCCATAGTCAGCAGAAACAAAACTATCATTAAAGGAACCTGAGTCTCTTAGTGCCGACCTGTCATCTCTGCCGACCTGTCATCTCTGCCGACCTGTCATCTCTGGTCACTCTCAAGACAGGCTCAACTCAGGGGGACATGTCCCCTCTCCTCTTACCTTCTTTCTCCTAGGTTGGGCTCCTCTCTAGAAAGACCAGCGCGTGCTCCTCACTTTGGGGGTGGAGACCACATGCCAGTAGGATGTCCTTGCCCCCGCTGCCGTGGGTTCAAATGGCCCGATACAATGGGGGGGGGGGGGGGGGGTTGGAGGATGAAATCTTTAGTCACCGGTTCGAAATCAGGCTGCGAAGAAAAGCCTGTGAGACTCTCAAATTACCAAAAAGCCAGAAGTTGGAATTGTGGTTCAAGTGGTAGAGCGCCAGCCTTGGGTGAAAAAGGTAAGAGGGCTTGAGTTAGTGCAGTGCGCGCGCGCTCGCTCGCTGTGACACTGACACGCACACACGCACGCACGCACGCACGCACGGCCGGGTCCCGCCCGCGTCCCGAGCCCGCGGCGCCGACGTCGGGAGCCCCGGACGCGCGCGCGGACCCCGTTTCCGGGCAGGGGGCCGCGCGGGAAGGAAGGCGCCCACCGCAGCCCAGGGCTCGGGCGCGGGGCTCACACGCCGCCCTCGCGCGTCACCGGTTCGGGGACCGCCCCGCCACGGGCACGCCCGGGGGCCCGGGCCCCACCCCGCCGCCGCCGCGCGCGCCGACCCCGCGTCCCCGCGTCCCCGCGGGGCGGGCGCCGGGCCGGAAGTCGGCCCTGACGGACAGGACGCGGCTCCGCCGGCCACGCGGGCCCACCCGCGGCCCCCGACAGCCCCCGCGGCCCCCCGCGCGGCCTCGCGGCGCCGGCGGCCCCGCGCGGCAGCTGACGCGCGAGGCCCGGGCCGCCTCCGCCGGTTCCCGCCGGGCGCCAGCGCCCTCCGCACGCGCCTCCCGGCCAGGCCCGCGCTCACCATGGCCGCCCCCGGCTCCGCGGTGTCCTCCCGACGCCGCGAGGTCAGCGAAGGTCACCCGGCAGCCGAGGCCGAGCCGCCGGGACCCCCGGAGCAGCCCCGAGCGCCGCGAGCGTGACGGGGCGGGACAGGAAGCTCGGCCGGCGCCTCCCCCGCCGCGCGCCGCGGCGGCCCGCCACGCCCCCCGGCCCTGATTGGCTAACGGGAGCAGGGCCCGCCTCCGAGCCCTGAGTGACCGCAGAGCCGGCCTGTGCGGTGCTTGGTGGAATGGCCAGGAGCTGTTCCAGCCACAGGCATTCCTGAGCCCCGCGTCCTCGGGGCGGGGCGGGGCGGGGCGGGGTCCCAGCCTGGCAGGTGTCAGCGTGCAGGCAGAACTTGTTTCTGGCGTCTCAACTTTTAACATTGATCTCATACAAGATGGGAGAAGAGTCACGGTTAGGGCTGGGAAGGTGGCTCAGTGGTAGAGCGCTTGCCTTGCATGCCTGAGGCCCTGGGTTCGATTCCTCACCACCACATAAGCAAAAAGAAAAAAGCCAGAAGTGGCGCTGTGGCTCAAGTGGTAGAGCGCTCGCCTTGAGCTGAAGAGCTGAGGGACAGCGCCCAGGCCCAGAGTTCAGGCCCCACGACCGGACCCCCCCAAAAAAAAAAAAAAAAAAGTCAGGAGGGAAGGAGACTGGGAACGTTGTCGGTGAGGACTACGTTAGAAATGATCATTCTGGTGCTGTCCTGCGTGGCTAGGATTACAGGATTGAGCCACTGGTATTAGCATTTCGGGCTTTCTGGTTGTCAATTGAAACCTTGGGCCTCAGACCTTAGCCTCCTATGTAGCTAGGATTATAGGTGTGAACTAGTGATGTGTGGAAATTATTGGATTTCTTTTTTTTTTTGTCGGTCGTGGGGCTTGAACTCTGGGCCTGGGCGCTGTCCCTCAGCTCTTCAGCTCAAGGCGAGCGCTCTACCAATTGAGCTACAGTGCCACTTCCGGTTTTCTGGTGGTTTATTGGAGATAGGAGTCTCACGGTTTTTCCTGCCCGGGCTGGCTTTGAACCTCGATCCTCAGATCTCAGCCTCCTGAGTAGCTAGGATTACAGGTGTGAGCCACCAGCGCCCGGCTTGGATTTCTTTTTTTTTGGGGGGGGGAGGGGTTCAGGCATGCAAGGCAAGCGCTCTACCACTGAGCTACCTTCCCAGCCCAAATTATTGGAAATTTTTCTAGTGAAAGTGAATAGACAAAGCTCAGATACCTCAGGTCTCAGCGTCATGTCTAAGTTCTAATAACAAATGACATGTGAAAACATTAAATGGCACCACAAGCACTGTATCTACAGTTGATAGACAGCTACCATAGCTGGTCTCCCAGCAGGACTATCTGCATCGCTTCCCACTATCTCCTTGTACTTGAGGAGCTGTGCGCGGAGGGCTGAGGAGTACTGCGTAAGAAGTGGTGCTGTGTCTCAAGTGGTAGAGCGCTAGCCTTGAGCACAGAGGTTCGGGAACAGCACCAGACCCTGATGCCAATGTCAATCCCCAGGACACACACTCCCACCAAAAGACATATGGGCTGGGAAGGTGGGGAGGGGAGAAAATGGGCAGTGATGTAGAGCTGTGGTTCTGGAGTGCTGGCCTTGGGCACAGAGGCTCCGGGACAGTGTCCAGGCCCCGAATTCAAGCCCCGGGACTGGTACACATACAGACATGGGTAGTAGCACTGATCCATCATAGCTCTGTATGGGGTATGAACTAATGATGGAGGACATCATCATCATCACTCAGAAAACGACACACTCTCGCTGCTACATCGTGTGAACTGTCCTTACTTCCCTCAAATGCCCTAATGTTCATCTTGTGCCTTTTGCCACTGGAGATATTGTGTGAGTACCTTGTGCACATCATACACGTGTTGTACCACTGAGCTTCACTGGGGGCCTGTTTACACCTTTTATTCTGAGTGGTTAATTGGAGATCAGAGTCTCGCAGGGACTTGTCTGTCTGGGCTGGCTTCAAAGCACGATCCTCAGATCCCAGCCTCCCGCGAAGCTAGGATTGCAGGCGGGCCACTGCCTCTCCCACCCCCTCCCGCACCCGCCCGGATTCCCCCCTGTCCCCCCCCTTCTGTGAGGTCAGAAGTGGCTTCCCGGGAACCGTGGATCGGGACCCTGACCCCGTCTCTGGGAGGTGGACGCAGAGGCCGGTTATGGAAAGCCAGGTCGTTCTGCCTTGTGAGCGGTTGTCCCGGGCCCGCGGAGGCCGTGCTGAGCTCGCGGCCGGTGGGTCGCGGGGCAGGCCCCCGTGGGGTCCCCGTCAACTGTAAACGGTCACCCCGGAGGTGGGCGGAGCCTTCCACTGGCGGTTAGAGCCGCCCAATCACGAGCGCTGGCGGTGGGCAGGACCGCCTACTGCTACGTTAGAGCCATCCAATCACGAGCGCCCGCGGCGGGCGGGGTCTCCTAATGGCAGTTAGAGCTATCCAATCAAGTCACTGAGCGCCAGCGGTGGGCGGGGCCTCCCATGGCGGTTAGAGCCGTCCAATCACGAGCGCCGGCGGTGGCCGTTGGCTGGGTCTGGGCGAGAGTCCGGGGCGCGGCCACAGGCTCGGAGAGACCCCGGGCGCTTGGCTCCCGGCGCGCCTCGGGCCGTGAGGACAGCCGGGCACCCTCGACGTCTGAAGCGGTGGGCGTCGGGGCTCTGAGGTCTGCGGCCGCCGTGGGGCTCCCACGTCGGCCCCCGGGACTTTAGCCGGGGTCTGCCTCCACCTCCCCGTCCCCCATCCCCCGGCGCCCCCCACTCCGGGCCCCGGGGTGCGCCGGCCTCGGGTCCCCGGCCCCTTGGTCCCGGATCTCCCGTGACTGCCCGGGCCTGACCCGGAGCCCCCGACTTGGCGGCTGGCGCGGCCTTGCGGGACAGCCGGTTGTTTCCAGGGAGGACAGGCCTGGGGGGGGGGGGGGGGCGGGAGGTGGGCAGGAGAAGCATGGGCTGGGTGGGAGCGGAGGACCACAGCTTGAGGCCAGCCCCGCAGGAATGCCTGTGAGACTCATCCCCAGTGAGCCACCAAAAAGCTGGAAGTGGAGCTGTGGCTCAAAGGGTAGAGCGCTGGCCTTGAGTGAAAAAGCTCAGGACAGCGCCCAGGCCCTGAGTTCAAGCCCCACGACTGACACACACAAAGCTGTCCTTGAGCCATCCTGCAGAGTAGTATCCATTCATTTTCAGCAAGTATATGAGAACACATTTGCAAGAGAAAAACATCTTTTTGCCTATGTCGTTAAAGAAAAAAAAAAAAAAAACTTAAAGCCAGGAGCCAGTGGCTCACGCCTCTAATTCCAGCTACTCAGGAGGCTGAGATCTGAGGATGGAGGTTCAAAGCCAGCCTGGGCAGGAAAGTCCGTGAGACAATCTCCAATAAACCACCAGAAAACCGGAAGTGGTGCTGTGGCTCAAGCTACGGTAGAGTGCTCACCTTGAGCTGAAGAGCGCAGCGACAGCACCCAGGCCCAGAGTTCAAGCCCACGACCGACAAAAAAAAAAAGAAAAAAAAAACTTAATATTGTGTTGTGTTTCTCATTTTGGTGTTATTTTTTTTTCTTTCTCCCCCAGAAGTCTATGGACAGACTGTTCACAAGAGAAAGGTAATCTGTGTGGACAACTCTTCCTCTGGCCTCCAGATGGCATTGTGAACAAGGAAAGTTCCAGGGGAGAAGCAAACGAAAGTGGGTGTGACTCTAAGTGAGCTTCACCCACACAATCAATGTGAGCACTGGAACAGAGAAGCTGGATAAACCTAAGGATCGTAGGAAAGCTTTTGTGGTCCCCAATTCTTTGAGAGGAATGAGAGAGAATGTCTCGCCACACAGTGACACCACACGAACAACAGCACCATTACAATGCCTTCCAGTTCTCTTCCAATTCGTGAGAAGACGACTCAAACAGAAGCCCCATGAGTGCAAATTGTGTGCAAAAAGTCTTCAGATGTCTCTGGTCCCTTAGAAGCCACGAGAGATCTCATCCTGGAGGAAAACTATCAATGTAAGCAGTGGTAATGAGTTCATGAAATGTGAAACTTCCCCCTGGAGACAAACCTTACATCTGTAAATGGTGTGGGAAAGTCTTCAGGTCTTGCGATTCTGTTCATGAAAGAATCCACTCCAGTGTGTATGCACTGTGGAGAAACCTTCATCCATTCCAGTACTCCTAGAATACATGAACAAAGCCACGGTGGGAAGAAGCCGTTTGTATCAGCCTGGTCAGTTTTAAGCAGTCACAGTTCCTTTTATAGGCATAAGAGGCCTAGTGATGAACAGAAACTGGGTAAGCAATGTGGAAAACCCTTTGGTTCTAATTACATCCCCATACACGAAAGCCACAGTGGAGAGAAACCATTTGTGTGTAAGCTCTGTGGGAAAGCCCTCAGTGATTTCAGCACCCTGTGATCCCACGAAAGACTCACCTGGGGAAGAAACCCCGTGGATGCAAGCACCGTGGGAAAGCCTTCCTCTTATTCAGGTTCCCTTCACCTTCATGAAAGAATTCACACTGGAGAGAAACCCTGTGTATAAACTGAGTGATATGGTGTTCAGTTCTTCCAGTTCCTTTCAAAAGCACAAAAGAATTCACACTGGAGCGAACCCTCGAGTGTAAACCATGTGAGTGGGAAGGCCTTGGTTTCTGTGCAAAATATTTGGCAGCCTGAACAAACTCACAAATCCTACTATGATCCAAGTTCTCTCAGAAAACATGGATGAACTCACTATGTAAAGAAAGCCTATGGGGCTGGAGGCGTGGCTCAGAGGGGACAGCACTAGGTCTAAAATAAGAGAAGAAAGCTTATGTGTGCAAGTAATGCAGGAAAGCCTCCAATGCTCCTGTTTCCTTCCACTGCAAGAAAGGGTTTCAATTGGAAAGACGCCTGTATCCGCAAGCAAGGCACGTAAGCCTTTAGCCACCCTGGTTTCATTCAGACAAAGAAGGGCTAACATGAGGTGGGCCATAAATAAGAAGGTGTGATGGTTATACAACCATTTTTCTCAGTGGCACTGAGACGTGAACTTGGCTTCACACTTGGTAGGTAGGCTCTCTACCACTGAACCATACCTCCTGCCCTTTTCTGCCATGGTTATTTTGAGATAGGGCCTGGGCCCATACTTGGACCAGGACACTATTTTCTGCTTCCTGCTCTACCTGGGATTACAGGCATGTGTCACCACACCTGTTTTTTTCACATGATCTTTTTACTGGTGCATATTGTAGATGAACTTTATAATTTTATTATGACAATTTCATCCAAATATCCTTTGGTCACATTCTCACATTAGCCCTCATTAGGCACTCCCCCCAAGTCTATACTTCCCTGATTGTCCACTTCCTTTTTTTTTTTTTGTTGGTCTTGAACTCAGCCTGGGTTCTGTCTCTATGCTCCCTTTTTTCGTTCAAGGCTAGCACTCTACCTCTTGGAGCCACAGTGCCACTTCCGGCTTTTTCTTGATTGATTGGAGATAAGAGTCTCATGGATTTCCCGCCCAGGCTGGCCTCAAACCAAGATCCTCAGAGCTCAGGCCTCCAGAATAGCTCGCATCACAGGCGTGAGCCAGAGGCACCTAGCCACTTCCTAGTTTAATGATGAGCAACTACAGGTGACACCTTTCTTGGTCTGGCTTATTTTGCATAACCTGATGAACTCTAGTTCTAACCATTTTCTTGTTAATGACATAATACTGAATAATAAAAGCTAGGTATATGTACTGCAGATAGTGGGGCTTGAACTCAGAGCCTTGTGCTTGCTAGGCAGGAACTGTACCATTTAAGCCACATACCTAGCCCTTTGTGCTTTAGTTATTTTTCATAGAGACTTGTTTTCTGCGTGGGCCTGTCTCATAGCTTAATCCTCCTGGGAGCACTTCCAGTCTAGCTGGGTGTACCAAACCTAGCCTACTTGTTGAGATGGGTTTTTACTTTAGGAATGCCTTGAACTGTGGTCCTGCTCCTGCTTCTTGAGTAGCTGGGATTATATATGCCAATTTTCTTTATCCTTCTGTCTTTCGACAGACACCTAAGCTGATACCCTACCTTAACTATTATGAATAATGCGTCTACAAAAATGGATATGTGCCTATCTGTAAAATTACTGGATGTTTTTAGGTACACACCAGGAGCTGCATGACTGGGTCATACAGAAGTTCTGTTTAGTATTTTAAGGAATCCAGATACTGATTTCTGTAGTGGCTGGACTCATTTACAGTCCCATCATCAGTGTGGAAGGTCCGACCTCAACCCCCAGTGCCGGCCACATTGGTCTCACTGACTGTTTCTTACTCTAGTTGGGTTACCACTCTTGATGTTAGACAAATCCACTAGCCAGCACTCTTCCACTTAAGAGCTCTACGTCTGGCTTTTTGGAGATAAATCTCGTGGACTTTGCTGCCTTGTCTGCCTGAGAACTGCAATCTCAGCCTGAGTAAATAGGATTGCTATTCCACCCGACTAAGATCATCGCTTGTTGGTGTAACACTGTCCATTGTCCTTCTGATACACGTCAGTTAAGCTCAGGTATCCATGTGTGAACAGTGCTACAATAAACACAGGCTTGCCTGTGTCTGTCTTGTATAGTGCTTTACTCTCCTGTGGACCTATGTCCAGTACTGGTATGGCAGGTCAATAAGGTTGGCTTCTGGTTTTCTGAGGAAGCTCCATACTGATTTCTGTAGTGGCTTCACTAGTTTTCATTCTCACTAAAGTTTTGGACGGATCCTTCCCTTTCCCTTTCTACATCTTCGCCAGCATTTGTTTTCCTGAGGGATGGCAGCCATTCTGACTAGGATGAGATGGAATCTTAGTGCGTCTTAAGTTGCATTTCCTTTCTGGCTCTTCAGTGTGCCGGTGCGCGCCCGCGGGTCGGCGTCGACCTCAGCCCCTGACCTTTTGCCTATGTGATTAATGCCTGTTTTTGTGTGGAACCGGGTGCGCACGCACCCTGGACTGGCTGCCTCGGGTGCGCACTCCTCTGGGCGCTGGAAGCCCGGGCGGGTGGCAAGCAATAAACTCCTTTATCCTCTCTGGGCAGTGGTCTCCCTCCTTGCTGCGCTGCGCTGTCCCAACGGCGCCAACAAAAGCAGCAGGAAGCCCCAAACAGGCGTCGGAGGGCGGCGTGCAAGCCCAGCCAGGCCCGGCTGCGGGCCGGGTGTCCACTTCCGGCCCCCACGGCCGCCCTCCCCTTCCCCCACGAGGAGCCACCCGGGGCCGGCGGCCCGGCCACCTGCGGCCTCAACGGGCTCCGAGAAGGCGGCGCCGGGGAGGACGACAGCGCGGCCCGCCGGCGCCACGCCCACGACGGCTTCTCATTGGACAACAATTAGCGCCCTCTCTGATTGGCTGATTGGCACGCAGGTCCCGCCCCCGATGCCCGACTGACGGGCTGGGGTTCGCTGTCCGCGGTCGCAGCCCCGCCCCTCGCAGCTCCGCCCACCGCGGCTCAGACGACACGGCCCGTGGCGCCACGCCCGGGGGTGAGCGCCAGCCGCGGGTGGGAGCGGCGCGGGCCCGTGCCGGGCCGGGTCGGAAACCCCACCTCAGAAGCAGAACCCACAAAACCCCGGGTCACACACGTGGCTGCCGCCTGTCCGCCCAGCTCCTGAGGAGGCTGAGGTCTGAGGATCGCGGTTCAAAGCCAGCCCGAGCAGGAGAGTCCGTGAGGCTCTGATCTCCATGATCCACCAGAGAACCGGACGAGGCGCTGCGGCCCGGGGGTGGAGCGCCGGCCGCGCGCGGAAGGCCCGTCACCCCTGCTGACCGGTACTGGCAAGCCCTGGGATTGGCACAGAAAGCAAAGGAGTGAGGGGAAGCGTTCCCGTCTCTCCAGTGTACCAGCTCTGCTGGAATTCAGGGGTTGGTGTGGGCGCTGGCTGTGGGCCTCGAACTCGGGGCCTGGGCACGGTTCCGAGGCTCGCTCATGGCTGGCGCTCTACCACTTGGGCCACAGCACCGTTTCTGGATTTCTGGGGGTTAGTTGCAGGTAAGAAGTGTTCTGTTTTCCTGCCCAGGATGGCTCTGAACCGAATCCTCCTGTGTCGGTCCCCTGAGTGGCTGGGATGACAGCCTCAGCCACCACAGTGTTTCAGTGCATCTTTGACAGAAGTCTGTGCCACTCCTTCCATCCATTGGATGTGCATTGGCCAGTCCTGGGGCTTGAACTCCGGACCTGGGTGCAGTCCCTGAGGTCTTGGGCTCAATGTGAGCGCTCTACCACTTGAGCCACAGCAACACTTCCGATTTTCTGGGGGTTCATTTCAGTCTCATGGACTTTCCTGCCTGACCTGGGCTGGCTTCCAACAGTGATCCTCAGATCGCAGCCTCCTGAGTGGCTGGGATTACAGACGTCAGCAGCCTGTGTGACTGGCTAGGAAAGAAATTTAAGTGAGCAGTGCTCTTCCCATACTGCCCACATTCATGGGGCTTCTCTCCAGTGTGAACTTTTTGGTTTTTCTTTTTTTTTCTTTTTGGGTCCAGTTGTGGGGCCTGAACTCTGGGCCTGGGCGCTGTCCCTCAGCTCTTCAGCTCAAGGCTAGCGCTCTTTGAGCCACAGCACTACTTCTGGCTTTTATCTTTTTGCTTATGTGGTGCTGAGGAATCGAACCCAGGGCCTCAAGCGTGCAAGGCAAGCGCTCTACCACTGAGCCACCTTCCCAGCCCCTTTTTGGTTTTCTTGAAAAGCACTGTGAAGACTAAAGGTTTTCCCGCACTGCTTACTACAGCAGGCTTCTTTCTGACATGAATCCCTTCACATCACTGAAGACAACTGGGCGGTGTAAAGGCCTTCTTTCCCACAATGCTTCTCTCCAATGTGCACCCATGCATGCATGCAGTTGCAGGAGTCAGTGATGAGTGGAAGCTTTGCCACACTGTTCCCAGACACCTGGTCTCTCTCCATTGCGGATCCATTCACCAAATGGAAGTTTTTCTTTATCAGTGAAGTCTTTCCCACACTGCTTTCCATGCATGGGGCTTCTCTTCAGTATGATATTTATTTTTGGGGGGGGGGGGGGTCTGGTCGTGGGCCTTGAACTCTGGGCCTGGGCGCTGTTCCTCAGCTCTTC